GGAAACTAGGCAAGTGAGGTTTAGATATCTGTGTAATAATGTCCAGAGTGGGAGAAAGAACTCTTGTCTGTTTGAYGTAGATGTGAATGMTGCAARTGGCCACCCTGATTAGCATTAKATAGTCTTGCAGCTTCAATGCCTGGCTGCTTCCTGCCTGGGGGAATCCTTTGTTGGGAGGTAGGTGTGGATGTTTCTTGATTAGCATTTAATGCCCTACCGGTTATCAAGATGTGGTTTCTTAGTGTCTGGGGGAATCCTTTGTTGAGAAGGAAACTTCCACTATACTCTGAGGCTCATCTACCCCTTCCTAGAGCAATGGGGGTACATACAGTCCTGCCGCAGTGTCCCTCCCCATCCGCACGGTGACTGCGCAGCCAGAACTTTGCAGTGGTTTGATACACAAGGAAACAGTTGGCTTTCCCGTTTAATATTTAATGCCCTCCTTCTGTCACTGGGGCTGTTGAAGCATCAATGCTTCAGGCATGATATGCATCCTTGCTTTTAAGGATGGGTTGTCTAGAAAGTGCAGCCATACTGAGACCATAGCTCAACCCTCCTCCAATTCCTCCCACCATCATTGCTACCATCGCAATGATGGTAGCAATGCATCCCACATCTGCATCCCACATATCTCCCCAAAATCTGACTCATAGGAGTAAGGGTAGAGGGTAGAGGGAAAGGTTTTCCACTGACGTTAGGGTTGAGAAGGGCGGTATACAAATATAGTAAATAAATAAGCAAACAAGTCTTGTTGATGGTCTTTGGCTACCCCTCTGACACCCCTCTCGTCCCAACTCCCAGATTAAGAAACGCTGTAGTGTTTACTCTCCCTTTCTAACCCAAAGAGCTGGCATTGTCCATAGACACCTCCAAGGTCATATGGCCGGCATGACTGCATGGAGCACCGTTACCTTCCCGCCGGAGTGGTACCTATTCATCAACTCACATTTACGTGTTTTCAGACTACCAGGTTGGCAGAAGCTGGGCTAACAGCGGGAGCTCACCCCCACTCCCCATATTTGAACCGCCGACCTTTTGGTCAACAAGTTCAGCAGCTCAGCAGTTTAACCCACTGCGCCACCGGGGGCAAAAATGCAAATAACTCCGGATAAAAATCTGATAGGTCATCCACTTTAGGGGCACAGGACCCTCACAAAAGTGCAAATTTCATGAATTATAAAAGCTATTTTGAAATATCTAGATATTTTTAATTCCTCAAGGAGTGTTTCTCAACCTGGAGATCGGGACCCTTGGCGTGGGTCACGAGGGGGTTTCAGAGGGGTTGCCAAAGACCATCGGAAAACATATATTTCTGATGGTCTTGGGAACCCCTTTGGCAGAGAGGGCGGAGGATCTCTCCGCCTGTCCTTCTCTTCCTTTTTGGAAACAGACGGTGAATCCTCCCAACAAAAGCCCTCCTCCGCTGTTCAGCCAAGGGGAGGGTTGTTTCTGAGACTGAAGGGAGAGCAGGTGTGCTCAGCACATGACTGCGTGGTGCGCAAGTGTGGGTGAGGGAGAGTGTGCGATGCTGGAGGGAGGGAGGACTAAGTAATCCAACCTAGAGGTGACTAAGGCATGGACCACCTTGGCCAGATCCGCCTTCCCGAGGTACGGTCTCAGTTGGCGCACGAGTCTTAATTATGCAAAGGCCCTCCCGGCCACCACCGACGCCTGAGCCTCAAGCGTAAGTGATGAATCCAGGAGGACACCCAAACTGCAGACCTGCGGCTTCAGGGGGAGTGCAACCCCGTCCAACACAGGTTGCCATCCTATACCCCGATCCGGTTTACGATCGACCAGGAGGACCTCTGTCTTGTCGGGATTGATCTTCAGCTTGTTCCTCCTCATCCAGACAGCCACAGCGGTCAGGCACTCGTCTAGCACCCGAGGGGCTTCCTTGGAGTTAGGTGGAAAAGAGTAGTAGAGTTGTGTGTCATCTGCGTAGAGATGGCACCCAACTCCAAAACTCCGGATGACCTCTCCCAGCGGTTTCATGTAGATGTTAAAAAGCATGGGAGACAGAATAGAGCCTTGCGGGACCCCACAGGTCAAAGGCCAGGGGTCCGAGCAGGCGTCTCCCAGCTTCACCATCTGGGATCGACCCTCCAGGAAAGACCGGACAAAGCCGTACCTCCAAGGCCCATCCCAGAAAGTCGTCCTAGAAGGATACCATGATCGATGGTATCAAAAGCCACTGAGATGTCCAAGAAAACCAACAGAGTCACACTCCCCCTGTCCAGCTCCCTGCGGAGATCATCCACCAAGGCGACCAAAGCCATCTCAGTACCATGACCAGGTCTGAAGCCAGACTGTGACTGATCCAGATAGTTGATGTCATCCAGGAAGCCCTGGAGCTGAGCAGCGACCACCCGCTCCAACACCTTGCCCAGGGTTGTTTCTGAGACTCCAAATGGGGAGGGAAGAGCAGGCGTGCTCTGCACATGATAGCGTAGTGCGCAAGTGTGGGTGAGAGAGAGCATGCGATGCTGGAGGGAGGCTCATGCAAGAAAGTCCCTTCAAGATCCCTGAAGATCTCTCCGCTTGTCCTTCTCTTCCTTTTTGGAAACTTACGGCGAGTCCTCCCACCAAAAGCCCTCCTGCGCTGTGATTGGCCAGCCTTTCCGCCAAGGGGAGGGCTATTTTTGAGACTTCAAAAGGCATTGGGGAGAGCAGGCATGGCAGTGTGGCGCGCAAGTGTGGGCAAGGGAGAGCGGGCGAGGCTGGAGGAAGGCGCACACCAGAACCCCCAAAACCGAAAGTGTCCAGAAGTCACTCTCTGGTTTTATAAAATGACATTTCCTGCCGCGAAAGCCGTCCCTCGCCGTCTTCGTCCTCTGCCGACGCTTCCTCCTCGAAGCTGGCGCCGGGCGGATGGGAAGTTGGCAGCCGAAGCATTGGGTTTCCTGTCCTTGTGAAAAACACCCATGTTTCCTTTGCCAAAGTCGAGGGAGGAACTTAGGCAGCTGACTCGAAGGGGGAATTTTGTGACTTGGGTCCTGCGAGAGAAACAGGAATAGCAGTCGAGAGAACCAAGCTCAAGAATCCTTATTCTGCAACACAGAAGGCTCTTTGATTGTAGGCGAACTATAAATCCCAGCAAGCACAGCTCCCAAATGTCAGGTCTACTTTCCCCAAACTCCACCAGTGTGCACATTCATACATATTGAATATTCGTGCCAAGTTTGGTCCAGATTCAAAATGATTCGAGTCCACAGTGTTCTCTGGATGTAAGTGAACTACAACTCCAAAACTCAAGGTCAATGCCCACCAAATCCTTCAAACCCTTCCAGTAGGTTGAGTTAGTCATGGGGGTTCTGTGTGCCAAGTTGGGTCCAGGTCCATCATTGGTGGAGGTCACAGTTTCCCTGATTGTGGGTGAACTACAACTCCCTGAAAGGAATACCACTTCCCCTCAAACCCCTGCAGTAATCAAATTTCAGCATATCAGGTGTGTGTGCCAAGTTTGGTCCAGATCCATCAGTGTTTTTGGTTCACAGTGCACTCTGGATGTAGGTGAACTACAACTCCCTCAAATCAAGGTGATTTTTTCCTCCCAATGACCTCCAGTATTTTTTGGTGTTCATGAGGGCTCTATGTGCCAAGTTTGGTCCGATTCTATCTTTGGTGGAGTTCATAGTGCTCATTGATCACAGCTGAACTATACATCTCAGTACCTACAACTCCAAAATATCCAATTCCCCATAAAACCCACCAGTATTCAAATTTGGGCATATTWGGTATGTATGCCAAGTTTGGTCCAGTTCCATCATTTGGYTTCATGGTGCGCTCTGGATGTAGGTGAACTACAACTCCTCTAAATCTCTCCATAGACCTCCAATAAGTTTTGTTGGTTATGGGTAGTTCTGTGTGCCAAGTTAGTTCCAGGTCCATTGTTGGTGGAGTTCAGAGTGCCCTTAGATTGCAGGTGAACTATACATCCCAGGACCTACAYCTCCTATAAATCATGGTGAATTCTCCCTAAACCTCTGTAGTATGTTGAATTGTGGATCAATTCCTCTGTTTGCTGTGTGCCATAGAAAAGAATAGGAAAGGGTTAAGGGAGAGGCAGTGGGCGGAGTGATGGAAATTTCATGCCAATGAAGAGAGTAAGGAACACTGGGATGTCTGTGATGGAGGAAAWATTACTGATTAATTRCTCTGTTTGCTGTGTGCCATAGAAAAGAATAGGAAAGYGTTAAGGGAGAGGRYGTGGGCGGAGTGATGGAAATTCCATGCCAATGGAAAGAGTAAGGAACACTGGGATGTCTGTGATGGAGGAAAAAATGCTGAATGATTCCTCTGTTTGCTGGTTATGGGTAGTTCTGTGTGCCAAGTTAGTTCCAGGTCCATTGTTGGTGGAGTTCAGAGTGCCCTTAGATTGCAGGTGAACTATACACCCCAGTACCTACAACTCCTATAAATCATGACCTCTCTAGTATGTTCAGTTGCTGCTCAATTCCTCTATTTGCTGTATGCCATAGAAAAGAATAGGAAAGGGTTGAGGGAGAGGTGGTGTCATGCAAATTCCACACCAGTGGAGAGAGAAAGGAACACTGGGATGTCTGTGGTGGAAACACATAAAATCTAGGGTGAAATTGTCCCCGTGTGAAAGCCTTCACTTGGGTGGTGGGCAGTATGGTGTTGTGGCGGACACAATTGGCAGGGCTCTTGGACATGTTTGTGGAGGACACATTGGCAGGGCTCTTGGACATGTTTATGGTGCTCACTCTAACCTGCAATGTCATTGGAGGGAGGGCCATTGGTATCTTTTGAATAGTGGAAGCTATAGCTGTTTTTGGAGGCAGGAGCTTGTCTGTGTAAGTGGACACACAAGCCACATACACACATACATATTTTCACTTTTTTATGTGTATAGATTTATTTATACCTCACAAGAAGACTCAAAAGCAACAATACCAACATCCTACCATTTTATGTTATGTTATGTCATTGAATGTTCCGGATTGTGATTTTTTTCCCTCCCTCTCTTGACCTTGCAGCTCAATTCTCCCATGAATCCAGTGAGCAGCACAGAAGACATTAAGCCTCCCTTGGGCATCAATGGCGTCCTTAAAGTGCCAGTTCATCCGTCGTCGGCCATGGCCTCCTTCACCAAGCACATATGTGCCATCTGTGGTGACCGATCTTCAGGTAATGCTCTCCATGGAAGGGTTAAATATGGTGGTTCCCAATTGTTGGTCCTCCAGGTGTTGTGGGCTTCAGGTCCCAAGAGCCTAACCAGGTTGCCCAATGGTCGGAAGTTCTGGGAGATGTCATCCAAACACCAGGAGGACCAACATTTGGGATCCTTCCTTTGGATGAGGAGTTCATTATGAGTTGATGGACTTGCAATTAGTAGGGTTGGCCTTCAGCAATTCTGGGAGATGTCATCCAAAGCACCCAGAGGATCAATATTTGGGACCCTTCCTTTGGATGAGGAGGTCATTATGAGTTGATGGACTTGCAATCAGTAGGGTTGTCCTTCAGCAGTTCTGGGAGATGTCATCCAAAACACCCAGAGGACCAACATTTGGGACCCTTCCTTTGGATGTGGAGTTCATTATGAGTTGATGGACTTGCGATCAGTAGGGTTGGCCTTCAGCAGTTCTGGGAGATGTCATCCAAAGCACCCAGAGGATCAATATTTGGGATCCTTCCTTTGGATGAGGAGTTCCTTATGAGATGATGGACTGGTAGGATTGACCTTCAGCAGCTTGCCGTGCATCAACACAGACCTAATGATGGACCTTTCTCTCTGTCCGCAGGTAAACATTACGGCGTATACAGCTGCGAAGGCTGCAAGGGCTTCTTCAAGCGGACGGTGAGGAAGGACTTGACCTACACCTGCCGCGACAACAAGGACTGCTTAATTGACAAGCGCCAGCGGAATCGATGCCAGTATTGCCGGTACCAGAAGTGTCTTGCGATGGGCATGAAAAGGGAAGGTAAGGCACAAAGGTGGTAGGAGACCTTTTTGGGGGCAGATCTTCACACCAATATGGTCAAAGTCTGGACTGAACATTACATAATGTTGCCAGTCCCTACTAGAGTAGACTTGTTGAATCAATGGGATTTATTACTCTGATCAGACACCCGATCAAGGCTCAGAACTCGTAACATACCATCTGATGGTTGATTGAGTGACTCTACTTTGCTTAGAAGTAACCAGTGAGATTCAAGTCCAGGTAAGTTGGTATATGGGCATCACAGTTTAGAGTACCGTTGATAATTAAATGTTATCATTAGAGCAGCGGTTCTCAACCTGGGGGTTGCGACCCCCAGAGGGGTCATTCGGCAATTCTCGAGGGGTCACAGACCTGTCTCCTTAGACCTCGCCTCCTCGTGCAGGCCCCATACGTCATCTTCAGGGTGCTAAAAACCCCGAGAGGCCTAGTGTGTGGGGGAAGAGGGCTGGTGGAGAGAGCGCACGCCCAGGGGCCAGTGCAGGAAGCGTGCTCTCCTCCCCTGCGTGCTTGCCAATTCTGGGAGAGTGATGTGCTCCGGCATTGACCTGCGCATGGGGAAGAAGGCTGGTGCAGGGTACACGCTTCCTACATTGGCCCTGGGCGCGTGCTCCCTAAACTGGCTGGGTTTGGTCCATGTATGTTATTTGTGGGGGTCTCAGAGGTCTGTGGAAGTCAGAGCTGAGTCAGTTGAAGGCACTGCAGATCCCTTCATCCGTTGTCCATACTCCCCCAAACATATTTTTTTTGTTATTAATCACTATGCTTTAATTATGTTCAATTTGTAACAATGAAAAAACGAGGGGTATTTTTTAAGTAAGGCCCGTTTTGTTGTAGACACTAGTAGTTTGCGCGCATACCGCAATGAGCGCATGCCTCGGGAACAACTGTGCTCAGTTTCCGCTCTGTAGCTAACCTGTACGGTTCTGTTCTGTGCTTTAAAAATGTGTAAGACTATCAACTCATGCGCCGCATGTGAGGTTCACTCAGTGATACGGTTTTTGTCAGCAAGGAACCTGCCTGCTGCAGAAATTCAACAGATTTGTGAAGTGTACGGTGATACTGTTATGAGTAAAAGCAAAGTGCGTAAGTGGGTACGACAATTCAAAGATGGCCGTGACAACTTCCATGATGAGGACCGCTCCGGTCGCCCTTCTTTGATTACAGACGATTTGATTTGATCGCACACTCAAATCTTTGGTTTTTGTGGTCCTCTGTTAGGAGTTTCGGGACCCAACGGGAGCACAGTTTCCTAAACTTTAGGTGTTCAGAAACAATGTTGTAAAGCACTGATCTCGACATGTCAGGAAATTCGTTTGAGAGACCTGTTATTGTGAAGCGCCTGTTCTCACGAATCCTCGCTTCAACTGAAGCCACCAAATCGTCTGTAATCAAAGAAGGGTGACCGGAGCGGTCCTCATCATGGACGTTGTCACGGCCATCTTTGAATTGTCGTACCCACTTACGCACTTTGCTTTCACTCATAACAGTATCGCCGTACACTTCACAAATCTGTCGATGAATTTCTGCAGCAGGCAGGTTCCTTGCTGACAAAAACCGTATCACTGAGTGAACCTCACATGCGGGTGAGTTGATAGTCTTAAACATTTTTAAAGCACAGAACAGAACCGTACAGGTGAGCTACAGAGGGGAAACTGAGCACAGTTGTTCCCGAGGCATGCTGGTACACGACACACGCACTCATTGCGGTATGCGCGCGAAATACTAGTGTCTACAACAAAACGGACCTTACTTAAAAAATACGCCTCGTATATCCTGCATATCAGGTATTTACACTATGATTCATAATAGCAGTTGTGAAGTAGCAACGAAAATATGGTTGGGGGTCACCACAACACGAGGAACTGGATTTAGGGGTCATGGCATTAGAAAGGTTGAGAAGCACTGCATTAGAGGAAGTTTTCATTTCCTGGTGAGTTTATAATAATAATAATACTTCGTTTATATTCCACTCTACTTTCCCGAGGAGACTCAGAACAGATTACAACATACGCAGTTAGGCAAACATTCAATACCTTTAGTACAGTGGAATAACAATTACCTACAAACACACAGAACAAGACAAGTGGAGTTTTGTTCTTGTGTCTCCCACGTCTTTACTAAATGGACCTTCCCACTGTAGATTCGCCTTGATGCTTTGAGGTGGTTTCAGCTTCAAAAGACCAACCTTCTCGGGATGCTTTCTTTGCCGCAGCCCAGAGAATCCCTTCCCTCGGATGCCGAGGGAGCCCCGGGAAGAGCGAGCCGAGCGCTAAGCAAATCTGACATGCTTGATTTACGGGGGGTTATTCAAGGACTTGCACGTGTGCCGTGGCTGGAAATGTCAAACTCGGCACTTCTCCTGGGAAGAGCGGAGGAGGAGGAGGCTCCAAAGGAGACCAGTTTGGAAGGAAGCGGGAAGGGGCCCACCCTGGACGAGGAGGGTACGGTCCCGGTGGACATTGGAGTCTGAACAGCCAGAGAGGCCTCCTCCTTAGGCCAGGATTGGAGGGCTTCCCTTTACAAAGATCTGCCAAAGATTGGGAGAAATTAGAATAATAATAATAATAATAATAATAATAATAATAATAATAATATAGGCCGTTGGGAAGAGCTTGATATTTGGAGACGAATCCCAGACACTTGGACCTAATATGTGTGTGTGCTCTAATATTATGTACATGTAATAATAATAACAGTAATAATAATACAATATAATATTAATGCAATATAATTATTCTAATAATAGTAATAATTATAATATCCTAGGCCCTTGGGAAGAGCCCAATATTCAGAGATGAATCGAGGACACTTGGACCTACAGTATAATACGAAAGCTGACTGGCATTGTTTCTAGCACCCATTTTTTGCTTGATATTCAGGCAGTTCTTCTTGTAGGTCAGGGCACTGTCCAGATCTTAGAAAACTATGTCTAGATTTAAGTCGTTGACCTGCTGGCTGATACCCAAACAGGGGATGAGCTGGAGATGTCTCTGCCTTGGTCCTTTCACTATTGGCTGCTACTTCCCGGCGGATGTCAGGTGGTGCAATACCGGCTAAGCAGTGTAATTTCTCCAGTGGTGTAGGGCGCAGACACCCCGTGATAATGCGGCATGTCTCATTAGGAGCCACATCCACTGTTTTAGCGTGGTGAGATGTGTTCCACACTGGGCATGCGTACTCAGCAGCAGAGTAGCATAGCGCAAGGGCAGATGTCTTCACTGTGTCTGGTTGTGATCCCCAGGTTGTGCCAGTCAGCTTTCGTATGATATTGTTTCTAGCGCCCACTTTTTGCTTGATATTCAGGCAGTGCTTCTTGTAGGTTGGAGCACGGTCCAGAGTGACTCCCAGGTATTTGGGTGTGTTGCAATGCTCCAGTGGGATTCCTTCCCAGGTGATCCTCAGAGCTTGGGATGGTTGTCTGTTCTTGAGATGAAAAGCACATGTCTGTGTTTTAGATGGATTAGGGATCAGCTGGTTTCCCCTGTAATAGGCAGTAAGAGCACCTAGAGCTTTGGAAAGCTTCTGTTCTACCATCTCAAAGCTCCCTGCTTGAGCGGTGATGGCACGATCATCAGCATAGATGAAGCTCTCTGTCCCTTCTGGCAGTGGCTGGTCATTTGTGTAGATGTTGAACATGGATGGGGCAAGCTAGTGGCAGTCCCCTGAGGCAGGCCGTTCTTCCATTTCCGTCATCTACTTCTCTGGCCCTGAAACTCAACAAAAAAGCTCCTGTTTTGTAGCAGGTTTCCTATGAGGCAGGTGAGGTGGTCGTCCTTTGTGATATTATACATTTTTCTCAGGAGGAGGCAGTGGTTCACGGTATCATAGGCTGCTGACAGGTCTTTGAAGACAGCTCCTGTGATCTCCTGCCTTTCAAGGCCGTCTTCTATGTGCTGAGTCAGGTTCAACACTTGCGATGTGCAGCTTTTGCCTTTCCTGTAGCCAGCTTGCTGTGGGATCAGACATGGGTCTTCGTAGACGGCTGATTCTCTCACCCCAGAAGCGACCAGAAGCGACTTGCAGCATGCAAGCAAGCAAAACAACCAACACTGACAAAGAAACAGCAAGAAATACTGTTTACCCACAAGCTGAAAGGAATTAGATATATTAGAAACCAACACTTTCTCATTACTTTATTTTCCAGATCAACAGACTGGGCCACAGCAACGCGTGGCAGGGGACAGCTAGTAATACAATATAATAGACTGGAGTGACTTCCTTCAGGATTCCTTGGGCACTTTTTGCTCTGGCTGCCGTGATTCCAATATTCTGCCCTGACGCTTTATCCTGGGATGACTTTTGCTAGCTTTGCAGTCTTGGAAGGAGGCTGGGAAGGGAGGGCTCTGCCGGCAAACATTCATTCTTAATCTTTCTGCCGTTGCGGTGGTTCAAAGGCCTTCAGCAAATGAGTCACATGCAGAGGGAACCCCCTCGCTGCCCATGGCAGGCATGAAACTGCTCTCCTAGCCAACTAGCCTGGCATAGATAGAATAGAGGAGTCATGGCAGGGAGGAACTCAGAAGGCATAAATTGAGCCCAGATCATTGGTACCAAAATCCTGGCTTTGGGAAGATCCTTTCCCATTCATCATTTATCTGAATGCAGTTGGTGAATCCCGACTGTGGTAGAGACATTGGTCCACTGGTCTCAATCCAGCATATTTATCCATAAGCTTGGACTGTCAACCTTCCTATTGGCGAGTTTCTTGCTCACTTAGGCAATCCCTTGTTGACTGAATAAGTTCGGTGTCCTAGCGGTGAGTCCGTAGGTGACTGTGAAGCCCTATTCTTGACCTGCATGTTCTGCAGTGAGGGCATTGGTTTGCAGGTGGAAGGTGGTCCCAGTCAGGGTTGGCTTGATGCGCCTTCCTCTTGGCACGCTTCTCTCTTTCGCCCTCCATTTGTATCTCTTCAAATTCTACAGCATTGGCTGCTTATTATTTCCAGGTGTCAGATTGTTTTCCAAACCCAAATCTTGAGAGCTCAGAGAGAGAGAGAGTGAACCATCATTGCTAGGCCCAGCAGGAATATTCTCATGAGAAACTTCCCTTTGCACTGAGGCCTCTCTGTCATGTGGGTTCGTACACAGAAATGTGGTCACGCAGGTAGGCGGGTCCCAAACCGTTCAGGGCTTTGTAGGTAAGAACCTGCACCTTGAATTGGGACTGGAAAATGAACGGCAGCCAGTGGAGCTCCTTGAACAGGAGGGTTGACCGCTCACTGTAAGGAGCTCCAGTTAGTAACCTGGCCGCCGCCCGTTATGCCAATTGAAATTTCCGGGCCGTTTTCAAGGGCAGCCCCATGTAGAGTGCATTACAGTAGTCCAATCTGGAGGTGACTAAGGCATGGACTACCCTGGCCAGATCTGCCTTCACGAGGTACGGTTGCAGCTGGCGCACGAGTCTTAATTGTGCAAAGGTCCTCCCGGCCACCACCGATGCCTGAGCTTCAAGCGTAAGTGATGAGTCCAGGAGGACACCCAGACTGCGGACCTGTGACTTCAGGGGGAGTGCAACCCTGTCCAACACAGGTTGCCACCCTATACCCCAATCTGGTTTACGATCGACCAGGAGGACCTCTGTCTTGTTGGGATTAATATTCAGCTTGTTCCTCCTCATCCAGACAGCCACAGCGGCCAGGCACTTGTCCAGTACCCGAGGGGCTTCCTTGGAATTGGGTGGAAAATAGTAGTGGAGTTGGGCGTCATCTGCATAGAGATGGCATCCAACTCCAAAACTCCCAGAGGTTTCATGCAGATGTTGAAAAGCATGGGGACAGAATGGAACCTTGCGGGACCCCACAGGTGAAAGGCCAGGGGCCCGAGCAGGCGTCTCCCAGCTTCACCATCTGGGAAAAATGTATAATATCACAAAGGACGACCACCTCACCCGCCTCATAGGAAACCTGCTACAAAACAGGAGCCTTTTTGTTGAGTTCCAGGGCCAGAGAAGTAGATGGCGGAAACAGAACAACGGCCTGCCTCAGGGAGCGTGCTTGCTCCATCCATGTTCAACATTTACACAAATGATCAGCCACTGCCAGAAGGGACAGGGAGCTTCATCTATGCTGATGATCGTGCCATCACCGCTCAAGGAAATCAGCTACCGAACAGGAGCTTTTTTGTTGAGTTCCAGGGCTAGAGAAGCAGATGGCGGAAACAGAAGAACGGCCTGCCTCAGGGAGTGTGCTCGCTCCATCCATGTTCAACATTTACACAAATGATCAGCCACTGCCAGAAGGGACAGAGAGCTTCATCTATGCTGATGATTGTGCCATCACCGCTCAAACAGGGAGCTTTGAGATGGTTGAACAGACTTTGTGCTGAAAGGGAGTGGGAACATCCATCCATTTTCATTACAAGGACTAATAACAGGCTGTTGATAAGATCATTTGTGTTTGTAAGTACTCTCAGCCAAAGGATAGTAGGCACCATCCGTTCTTCTCTGTAACATGCTAAAAATAAATATAGTCTGAGATTCTTAAGAGGCTGGATGCCCGCCTTCACACACACTCTTCTAAACAGCTCTGTCCTTGCATGGCTTCATAAACATCGAGTGTTTGTATCTTCTTCTGGGACTTGGGTAGCATCATCTCTTGAAGCGGTCCTTCAAACCTCCTAATGCCACATCTGGTTGGAGATCCACTCTTGTCTGTTTCCTTCCTTCTCATTAAGGCAGGACATAACGAGCGCAGTTGAGTGTTCCGGGAAGACTAATAACTGGGGAGGAAATGTCAACCATCTGTTGATGTAAACAACATTTTGTTTTCTCCGTTCGCTTGGCAAACAAGCACTTGTTTGTTATGAGTAGGGTCTTTATGGCAAGTCTTGGGGATGTTTTTTTCAGACCGTAAGATGTTTTGGACTGATGGTAGCCACCTCAAAAGAAACCCCAGAAATTGTGAAAAGTCAATATCTGGATTTCAAGAACTCCCCTTGACTTATGCACAGCCCATAACTACCTTAGACTTATACATGAGGTCGACTTAGAAAAGAATAGGAGAGGGTTAAGGGAGAGGCAGTGGGCGGAGTCATGCAAATTCCACATCAGTGGAGAGAGTCAGAAACACTGGGATGTCTGTGGTAGAGGATGTAATTGTCCCTGGATGAAAGCATTCCTTGTGTGGTGGGCAGTGTGGTGTTGGTGAAGGACACCGAGCACCGGGATTGTGGCACAGCTGGCTGAGTGTCAGCTGCATTGAGATCACTCTGACCAAAAGGTCATGAGTTCGAAGCCAGCCTGGGTTGGAGTGGGTTTCCAACCAATTGTGTAGCCTGTTGTCGACCTTTGCAACCCGAAACAGAGTTTCATCTGACAAGTAGGAAAATTGGGTACCACCTTAAAGTGTGGGGAGGCTAAATTAACTAATTAACTTAGGCAGAAAAAATGAAATGCAAAGATACAGAATGGGGGACGCCTGGAAAGCTAAGCTACAGGACGTGGATTAGCTCCATCCGTAGAAAAGCTTCATTTCCTACAGCATCCGGGGCAGAAATTCCGGGGGAAAACAGTCCCAAAGCTCTGGCTGGGAGCTTACAGCCTCTCAGCTTTACAGCATCTGAGGGAAACAGTCCTAAAGTTTCAGAAGAAAACAGTTTTGCAGACCCAAAGAACTCCAGCTGGAGAATCTACATAGCCTTGACTGGTAGGTCTACTCGGGACCCAAGACGCAGATTGGAACCGGTAGTAGAACCCACATCAGCAAAGCTTAGACAGTAGATTGCCTGGGAGGGGTTAAAAAAGGGTTTTCCTTGTTCAAGAAAGAAATAGTTCTCCAAGTAAGGTGCCTGTCCATTTTGGGGCAAGTTAAGAAACAAAGATACAGAATGGGGGACGAGGCTTGGCTCGAGAGCAGTACGTGTGAAAAAGATCTTGGAGTCCTCGTGGACAACAAGTTAAACATGAGCCAACAATGTGATGTGGCGGCAAAAAAAGCCAATGGGATTTTGGCCTGCATCAATAAGAGTATAGTGTCTAGATCTAGGAAAGTAATGCTCCCCATCTATTCTTCCTTGATTAGAGCACACCTGTAATATTGTGTCCAATTCTGGGCACCACAATTGAAGAGAGATATTGAGAAGCTGGAATGTGTCCAGAGGAGGGCGACTAAAATGATCAAGGGTCTGGAGAACAAGCCCTATGAGGAGTGGCTTAAGGAGCTGGGCATGTTTAGCCTGAAGAAGAGAAGGCTGAGAGGAGATATGATAGCCATGTATAAATATGTGAGAGGAAGCCACAGGGAGGAGGGAGCAAGCTTGTTTTCTGCTTCCTTGGAGACTAGGACGTGGAACAATGGCTTCAAACTACAAGAGAGGAGATTCCATCTGAACATGAGGAAGAACTTCCTGACTGTGAGAGCCGTTCAGCAGTGGAACTCTCTGCCCCGGAGTGTGGTGGAGGCTCCTTCTTTGGAAGCTTTTAAACAGAGGCTGGATGGCCATCTGTCTAGGGGTGATTTGAATGCAACATTCCTGCTTCTTGGCAGAATGGGGTTGGACTGGATGGCCCATGAGGTCTCTTCCAACTCTTTGATTCTATGATTCTATAAAGGCCATCTGTGGCTCCCCATAGCTGTTTATGTGGCTTCCAGCCCACTATATTTAGATTCACCAAGTGTTGTGATGCCTATTGTTTTCAGGATGGCTCATGTGTCCACACAATTTTGATCCACACAATGTGATTTTTCAGACATATTTGTCACTTACCCTTATACTCCCTCAGCATAGCGTCATTGTTCCTTTTAGGCAGTGCCCTGTATGTTGACGGCACTCTCACAATTAGTAATTATCATAATAAGTTTACTACTGCTATTACTACTGAACCGCAGCCTCAGCCGCTGCGATTTTACTACAGCAATGTTTCATTTCCAAATTTTTACTCTATTACAGGGATGGAGCACCATCCATCCCGGCCCACAAGACTCCCTGGAAGGCAGGAAGAACAAGGTATTCCCCTTTCAAATATTACTGGACCAGCTGTTAAGCAGCAAAACTTGTTTATATATCTATATATATCTATATATCCAAAAGTGGATCCTCTATTTTGACCACACTTGGGCTGGAAGCTACTATAGAGGACTAGAAGTGGGGGAAATTTATTTTTTTGGTGTTTAGGTAAATGATATTGTAGATATCCAATCTGTGGAAATGCGAGTTGTAGACGCTTACCCTCCTTGTAACACCATCTATGTGCATGGCTTTTCTAGCGTAGCCTTCAAGAGCTCAAGTTCATCTCCATCCCACCATGAGTTGTCCATAGTGGACCTTACGGAGGATTAGGCTACTTTGTACAGGTCATGATTCTACATAAGGATCGTGTAAAGTTCTATACATCTGGGAGTCTGATTCTCTGTGTCTTTCTTTTGGTGTAGCCTTCAAGAGCTCAGGTTCATCTCTGTCCCACCATGAGTTGTCCATAGTGGACCTTATGGAGGATTAGGCTACTTTGTACAGATCATGATTCTACATAAGGATCATGTGAAGTACTATACATCTGGGAGTCTGCTTTCTCTGTGTTTTGCTTTGGTGGTGCAGCCTTCAAGAGCTCAGGTTCATCTCCGTCCCACCACGAGTTGTCCGTAGTGGACCTTACAGAGGATTAAACTACTTTGTACAGGTCATGATTCTACATAAGGATCATATAAAGTTCTATACATCTGGGAGTCTGATTCTCTGTGTCTTGCTTTGGTGGTGTAGCCTTCAAGAGCTCAGGTTCATCTCTGTCCCACCATGAGTTGTCCATAGTGGACCTTACGGAGGATTAGGCTACTTTGTACAGGTCACGATCCTACATAAGGATCATGTAAAGTTCTATACATCCGGGAGTCTGCTTTCTCTGTGTCTTGCTTTGGTGGTGTAGCCTTCAAGAGCTCAGGTTCATCTCCATCCCACCATGAGTTGTCCATAGTGGACCTTATGGAGGATTAGGCTACTTTGTACAGGTCACGATCCTACATAAGGATCATGTAAAGTTCTATACATCCGGGAGTCTGCTTTCTCTGTGTCTTGCTTTGGTGATGTAGCCTTCAAGAGCTCAGGTTCATCTCCGTCCCACCATGAGTTGTCCATAGTGGACCTTACAGAGGATTAGGCTACTTTGTACAGGTCACGATCCTACATAAGGATCATGTAAAGTTCTATACATCCGGGAGTCTGCTTTCTCTGTGTCTTGCTTTGGTGGTGTAGCCTTCAAGAGCTCAGGTTCATCTCCATCCCACCATGAGTTGTCCATACTGGACCTTATGGAGGATTAAGCTACTTTGTACAGGTCATGATCCTACATAAGGATCGTATAAAGTTCTATACATCTGGGAGTCTGATTCTCTGTGTCTTTCTTTTCTAGTGTAGCCTTCAAGAGCTCAGGTTCATCTCCATTCCACCATGAGTTGTCCATAGTGGACCTTACGGAGGATTAGGCTACTTTGTACAGGTCATGATTCTACATAAGGGTCATGTAAAGTACTATACATCTGGGAGTCTACTTTCTCTGTGTCTTGCTTTGGTGGTGTAGCCTTCAAGAGCTCAGGTTCATCTCCATCCCACCATGAGTTGTCCATACTGGACCTTATGGAGGATTAGGCTACTTTGTACAGGTCACGATCCTACATAAGGATCGTGTAAAGTTCTATACATCTGGGAGTCTGATTCTCTGTATCTTTCTTTTCTGGTGTAGACTTCAAAAGCTCAGGTTCATAGAGGACCTTATGGAGGTCATGATTGTTCATAAAGATTGTGGAAAGTTCTATGCATCTGGGAGTCTGCTTTCTTGGTGTCTTGCTTTGCTGGTGTAGCCACCAGTTGTCCATAGTGGACCTTATGGAGGATTAGGCTACTTTGTACAGGTCACAATCCTACATAAGGATCATGTAAAGTTCTATATATCTGGGAGTCTTGCTTTGTTGGCATAGCCTTGAAGATCTCAGGTTCATCTCCATCATGAGTTGTCTGTAGTGGACCTTACAGAGGATTATGCTACTTTCTACAGGTCACAATCCTACATGAGGATCATGTAAAGTTCTATACATCTGGGAGTTTACTTTCTCTGTGTATTTCTTTGCTGACGTAGCCTTCAAGAGCTCAGGTTCATCTCTGTCGCACCATGAGTTGCCCTTAGTGGACATAATGGAGGATTAGGCTACTTTTTACAGGTCATGATCATACATAAGGATCGTGTAAAGTTCTATACATCTGGGAGTCTACCGTCTCTGTGTCTTACTTTCTTGGCGTAGCCTTCAAGAGCTCAGGTTCATCTCCGTCCCACCATGAGTGGTATGTAGTGGACCTTACGGAGGATTAGGCTACTTTGTAATGGTCACGATCCTACATAAGGATCATGTAAAGTTCTATATATCTGGGAGTCTTGCTTTGCTGACGTAGCCTTCAAGAACTCAGGTTCATCTCTGTGCCACCATGAATTGTCTGGAAGATTAGGCAACTTTGTGGAAAGTTCTATACATCTGGGAGACTGCTTTCTCTGTGTCTTGCTTTGCTGGCATAGCCTTCAAGAGCTCAGGTTCATCTCCGTCCTACCATGAGTTGTCCATAGTGGACCTTACGTTGGATTAGGCTAATTGTAAAGGTCACAATTCTACATGAGGATCATGTAAAGTTCTATAAATCTGGGTGTCTGTTGTCTCTGTGTCTTCACTTCTTTTGTAGGACTCTTGAGAGGCGGAATACTGGTTGGAGGGCATCTAAAAGTATATTTCTACGTCTCTATGGATAGATTGCATGTCTTCTTGAAAGTCCTGGAGGATAATGTTGTAATTCCTTGTCCGGCTATATAGAGCTGGTTGCTTCTCAAATGCTGCTCACCTTCATAGCTGAGTTGGGGGAGAAAAGACAAAGGCGAGTCTTGGGTGGGTAGAGGTCATTATGTAAATGAGGTAGCAAATTCCCCCTTCTACAACAAGCTTAAAGAAACACATGAACTTTGCGCTGACATATGTCACCAACAGGATCCAAATATTCATATACAGATATAAATACACACACATTCAACTACACCAGTGGTTCTCAACCTGGGGTCCCTAGATGTTTTTGGCCTGCAACTCCCAGAAATCCCAGCCAGTTTACCAGCTGTTAGGATTTCTGGGAGTTGAAGGCCAGAAACATCTGGGGACCCCAGGTTGAGAACCACTGAACTACTCCATCATGACCTATTGGTTACTCATAACTAGAGTGGGCCCATTGACCTAACGTTGATGGAGCAGGACCAACATATAAGTAGCTCCTATGGATTCATTGGGTCAGACTGTTGACTTGTTATTGGACAGCAAATGGATCTTATTCTCCTCCATCTGCACCAAATGTTTGGATACTTATAATTTCCTCCATCTTGAAAATGTTCTTCAAGAATCCAGTTGATGTTGTGTGCCTTCAAGTAATGTCTGAATTATGGTGACCCTAAGGTGGACTTAAGGTGGGGATTCAATGGGATTTCGTGACCGAGTAGGGATTTAATTGGTTTCCATGGACAAATAGGGATTCAGTTCCAAAGTCATAAAATCCAAGAGTTGAGAGACCCTCATGGCCATCTAGTTCAAACATGGTACAATTTGGTATTATTTGAATACAGCAGCAATCTAGACTATCTGGCATGGTCTTTGATGCTGTCATCTGTTGATTCTGTTTCCCCTACAATAGCTTTGTAATGATGGAAACCGATTAAATAATGTACAATTGCTTCCCTTCGTTGTATCCCATGTAGTCACACATGTTCATGCTGTTCCCTAGAACATTAGCTCACGAGGCATGCCAACTTGGAGGATGCCCAAGTCCTGCTTTAAGAAATGCTTTCTCTCTTGGAAGCCTCTGACCGATTCCTCTTCCTTGTCTCTCCCGTTTCCAGCTGTCCAGGAGGAGAGGCAGCGGGGCAAGGATCGCAACGAGAATGAGGTCGAGTCGACGAGCAACGCAAACGAGGACATGCCCGTGGAGAAGATCCTGGAAGCGGAGCTTGCTGTGGAGCCAAAGACGGAGACGTACATTGAAGCAAACATGGGCCTGACTCCAAACTCAGTAAGTTTTGGTTGCCTACTAGTGCAATGGTTTTAGGGGTTGATTTAATAGGGGATATGTTGGGCAGATGGGATCTAAACACCCTAAAAGTACCCATCTGATCTCAGAAGCCAACCAGGGCCATCCTTGGTTAGCACTTGGATGGGCAGCCACCAAGAAATACCAGGTGCTGTGGGCTCTATTTCAGAGGAACTGGCAAAACTACCTCCTCATATTCCTTGCCTATGAAAACCCTACGGAAAGTCTGTAGGTGACTTGAAGGCACCAGATCTTATCTAAGCTTGGAAGCCAAGCAGGTTCAGTACTTGGATGGGACACCACTAGGGGTGTGCAATTTTTTCGTTAGTTGTCGTAAGTTGTATCCAATTTGTTAAATTTGTACTTGCAATATCTGACATGTGCGCCAATAACGTAAGAATCGAAACTTTACCCAATACTATTTTGTTTCAGTTTTGTAAATCTCGGAATTAGTGGGATCCATAAGGGTTGAAGAACAGAGTTCTGAGTTCCAGGACTGGTGAGCTCCCAATCATCCAGCCATGATTGGGTGTCCTTGGTTCTCGCTCAGTCCTATCAGTGTGATCCATAAAGCTTGAAAAACAAGGTTCTGAGTTCCAGGACCAGTGAGCTCCTAGTCCTCCAACCACGATTGGGTTTCCTTGGTTCTCACCAAAACCTAATAGTGGGGTCCATAAGTCTTGAGGAACAATGTTCTGAGTTCCAGGACCGGTGATCTCCCAATCATCCAGCCATGATTGGGTCTCCTTGGTTCTCACCCAGTCCTACTAGTGGGGTCCATAAGGTTCTGAGTTCCAGGACTGGTAACTTCCCAGTCGTCCAACCATGATTAGGTCTCCTTGGTTCTTACCCAGTCCTATTAGTGGGCTCCATAAGGTTTTGAGTTCCAGGGCTAGTGACCTCCCAGTCATCCAACCATGTTTGGGTCTCCTTGGTTCTCACCCAGTCCTATTAGTTCTGAGTTCCAGGACCGGTGACCTCCCAGTCGTCCAACCATGATTGGGTCTCCTTGGTTCTTACCCAGTCCTATTAGTGGGGTCCATAAGGTTCTGAGTTCCAGGACTAGTGACCTCCCAGTCATCCAACCATGATTGGGTCTCCTTGGTTCTCACCCAGTCCTACTAGTGGGGTCCATAAGGTTCTGAGTTCCAGGACTGGTAACTTCCCAGTCGTCCAACCATGATTAGGTCTCCTTGGTTCTTACCCAGTCCTATTAGTGGGCTCCATAAGGTTTTGAGTTCCAGGGCTAGTGACCTCCCAGTCATCCAACCATGTTTGGGTCTCCTTGGTTCTCACCCAGTCCTATTAGTTCTGAGTTCCAGGACCGGTGACCTCCCAGTCGTCCAACCATGATTGGGTCTCCTTGGTTCTTACCCAGTCCTATTAGTGGGGTCCATAAGGTTCTGAGTTCCAGGACTAGTGACCTCCCAGTCGTCCAACCATGATTGGGTCTCCTTGGTTCTTACCCAGTCCTATTAGTGGGGTCTATAAGGTTCTGAGTTCCAGGACTAGTGACCTCCCAGTCGTCCAACCATGATTGGGTCTCCTTGGTTCTTACCCAGTCCTATTAGTGGGCTCCATAAGGTTTTGAGTTCCAGGGCTAGTGACCTCCCAGTCATCCAACCATGTTTGGGTCTCCTTGGTTCTCACCCAGTCCTATTAGTTCTGAGTTCCAGGACCGGTGACCTCCCAGTCGTCCAACCATGATTGGGTCTCCTTGGTTCTTACCCAGTCCTATTAGTGGGGTCCATAAGGTTCTGAGTTCCAGGACTAGTGACCTCCCAGTCGTCCAACCATGATTGGGTCTCCTTGGTTCTTACCCAGTCCTATTAGTGGGGTCTATAAGGTTCTGAGTTCCAGGACTAGTGACCTCCCAGTCGTCCAACCATGATTGGGTCTCCTTGGTTCTTACCCAGTCCTATTAGTGGGGTCTATAAGGTTCTGAGTTCCAGGACTAGTGACCTCCCAGTCGTCCAACCATGATTGGGTCTCCTTGGTTCTTACCCAGTCCTATTAGTGGGGTCTATAAGGTTCTGAGTTCCAGGACTAGTGACCTCCCAGTCGTCCAACCATGATTGGGTCTCCTTGGTTCTTACCCAGTCCTATTAGTGGGGTCTATAAGGTTCTGAGTTCCAGGACTAGTGACCTCCCAGTCGTCCAACCATGATTGGGTCTCCTTGGTTCTTACCCAGTCCTATTAGTGGGGTCTATAAGGTTCTGAGTTCCAGGACTAGTGACCTCCCAGTCGTCCAACCATGATTGGGTCTCCTTGGTTCTCACCCAGTCCTACTAGTGGGGTCCATAAGGTTCTGAGTTCCAGGACTGGTAACTTCCCAGTCGTCCAACCATGATTAGGTCTCCTTGGTTCTTACCCAGTCCTATTAGTGGGCTCCATAAGGTTTTGAGTTCCAGGGCTAGTGACCTCCCAGTCATCCAACCATGTTTGGGTCTCCTTGGTTCTCACCCAGTCCTATTAGTTCTGAGTTCCAGGACCGGTGACCTCCCAGTCGTCCAACCATGATTGGGTCTCCTTGGTTCTTACCCAGTCCTATTAGTGGGGTCCATAAGGTTCTGAGTTCCAGGACTAGTGACCTCCCAGTCGTCCAACCATGATTGGGTCTCCTTGGTTCTTACCCAGTCCTATTAGTGGGGTCTATAAGGTTCTGAGTTCCAGGACTAGTGACCTCCCAGTCGTCCAACCATGATTGGGTCTCCTTGGTTCTTACCCAGTCCTATTAGTGGGGTCCATAAGGTTCTGAGTTCCAGGACTAGTGACCTCCCAGTCGTCCAACCATGATTGGGTCTCCTTGGTTCTTACCCAGTCCTATTAGTGGGGTCTATAAGGTTCTGAGTTCCAGGACTAGTGACCTCCCAGTCGTCCAACCATGATTGGGTCTCCTTGGTTCTTACCCAGTCCTATTAGTGGGGTCTATAAGGTTCTGAGTTCCAGGACTAGTGACCTCCCAGTCATCCAACCATGATTGGGTCTCCTTGGTTCTCACCCAGTCCTATTAGTGGGGTCCATAAGACTTGAAGTGCAAGTTTCTCAATTCCAGGACCAGTCGTCCAACCATGAGTGGGTCTCCTGGTCCTAAGCACCACGTTTTCATTGAAAAACTAAACAAAACCTTTGCCGCTCTCGTTGCCGAGGAAGGAGGAGGGGAAGACCAAGCTTTGATTACCGCTGGCACCTGGGATACGGCAGCGATCAAGATTAAAGAGACTTCAGGGGAAATGTAATGAGAGTTGTGGGCAGCTTACGGGGCGGTGGGAGGAGGGGAAAGGAGAGAGGCCCGGGGAGGAAATGGAGCTGAAATAAATGCCTGCCGTTGGCCCAATCTCTCCGCCAGCCTCTTTTAGTAAATTGGATGCGGCTTTCTGCATAATTCAGCACACATTGCTGGGAGTACGGATGCACGCTGCATCTAAATACGAGACCTCAGAGGGACGGGAGCAGAGCTTTTAAATACCCCGCTATTGCGGAGTTATTGATCAATGGAACTGCAAGGACGATGGGCAGGAGGAAGGGATATAGGGCTGTGTTACCCTGTTTCCCACTTGCATGACTTAAATAATGCACCTTGGTTTTGGGAGTTGTAGTTCAACTGCATCCAGAGAAACAGTGACCACCACCGACAATGGTCCAGGACCAAACTTGGCACGAAGAAGCCCCATAACCAACTGAACATACTGGAGGAGTTTGTGGAAATTGATCTTGGTTTTGGGAGTTGTAGTTCAACTGCATCCAGAGAAACAGTGACATTGGACTGGGACCAAACTTGGCACATAGCAGCCCCGTGACCAACTGAACATACTGGAGGAGTTTGTGGGAATTGACTTTGGTTTTGGGAGTTGTAGTTCAACTGCACCCAGAGAACCAGTGATCTCCTATCGACATTGGACCAGGACTAAACTTGGCACAAAGAAGCGCCGTGACCAACTGAGCATACTGCAGGGGTTTGTGGGAAATGACTTTGGTTTTGGGAGTTGTAGTTCAACTGCATCCAGAGAAACAGTGACCACCACTGACAATGGTCCAGGACCAAACTTGGCATGAAGAAGCCCCATAACCAACTGAACATACTGGAGGAGTTTGTGGGAATTGACTTTGGTGTTGGGAGTTGTAGTTCAACTGCATCCAGAGAAACAGTGACCACGACCGATAATTGACTGGTACCAAACTTGGCATGAAGAAGCCCCATGACCAACTGAACATACTGGAGGAGTTTGTGGAAATTGACCTTGGTTTTGGGAGTTGTAGTTCAACTGCATCCAGAAAAACAGTGACCTCTATGAACAATGGATCAGGGCCAAACTTGGCACAAAGAAGCCCCGTGATCAACTGAACATACTGCAGGAGTTTGTGGGAATTGACCTTGGTTTTGGGAGTTGTAGTTCAACTGCGTCCAGAGAAACAGTGACCATGACCAATAATTGACTGGTACCAAACTTGGCATGAAGAAGCCCCATGACCAACTACATACAGCTGGAGTTTGTGGGAATTGACCTTGTTTTTGGGAGTTGTAGTTGAACTGCATCCAGAGAAACAGTGACCACCTTGGACAATAGACCAAGAGCAAACTTGGCACAGAGAATCCACATGACCAACCGAACACACTGCAGGGGTTTGTGGAAACTGACCTTGATTTTGAGAGCTATAGTTCACCTGTATCCAGAGAGCACTGAACCCAGCCAACGTCGGAGCTGGACCAAACTTGGCACACAGATCCAACATGTCCAGCTGTGCATACAGGCCTGGTTTGGGGAGGACTGGCCCACAATTCTGGGAATTGTAGTTCACCCACATCGTTAAGTATTTTCTAATGGGAACATTCATAAATAACGAAATTAAATTGTTTTTTTTTTCTAATAGTTTAGGTGGGACCTGATGTGGATGAAGGTCCTTGACTTGAAGGACCTTTTTTGAGAATCCCAGGATGCCAACAGATGATACCAGACAACTTGGGTCACACAATGAATTGGGCCCAGAAATAGACCAAATGAGCTGTGGTAGCCCAGCCATCTGCCTCCTCCTCGGCCTCCTCCTCCTCCTTGGGTTCCTCCTTCTTCTTCTTCCCTGCTTCAGGCATCATCCCCTTCTTCCGATCTGTGGTTCCCAGGAGTTGCAAGCTGCTCCTTTGACACATGGCTTTCGTCTGTTTTGGCTGGCGGTGCCAGCTCCAAAGCAGCTGGTTTTTGTTACTTGGGTGCATTTCAAAGGGAATGCCGTCCTCTCCCTCACTCCTCCCCCTCACTCCTCCGTGCTTCCCATTGTTGTGGTTTTACACATTACGGGAACGCAATGGGATGTGTTGGGGCATGTGAACGGCAGCAGCACCCCCTGCAGGAGGACGAGGACGAGCAAGGAGAAGAGTGGCCCGTGACTTTTCCAAATCTTCTCTTTCCTTGTACACTTCTTTGAGTTCTGTTTCTCAAGAATCTTGGAACACAAGAGCCTACGTCAGCATTTCTCAACCTGGGGGTCGGGACCCCTGGGTGGGTCATGAGGCGATGTCAGGGGGTCGCCAAAGACCATTCGAAAACACAGTATTTTCTGTTGGTCATGGGAGTTCTGTGTGCCAAGTATGGTTCAATTCCATCGTTGGTGGAGTTCAGAATGCTCTTTGATTGAAGGTGAACTATAAATCCCAGCAACTGCAACTCCCGATTGTCAAAGTCTATTTTCCCCAAACTCCACCACTGTTCACATTTGGGCATATTGAGTATTTGTGCCAAGTTTGGTCCTGATCCATCATTGTTTGAGTCCACAGTACTCTCTGGATGTAGGTGAACTACAAGTCCCAAAACTCAAGGTCAGTGCCCACCAAACCCTTCCAGTATTTTCTGTTGCTCATGGGAGTTCTGTGTGCCAAGTATGGTTCAATTCCATCGTTGGTGGAGTTCAGAATACTTTTTGATTGAAGGTGAACTATAAATCCCAGCAGCTATAACTCCCAAATGTCAATGTCTATTTCCCCCCAAACTCCACCAGTGTTCACATTTGGGCATATTGAATATTTGTGCCAAGTTTGGTCCTGATCCATCATTGTTTGAGTCCACAGTACTCTCTGGATGTAGGTGAACTACAAGTCCCAAAACTCAAGGTCAGTGCCCACCAAACCCTTCCAGTATTTTCTGTTGCTCATGGGAGTTCTGTGTGCCAAGTTTGGTTCAATTCCATCATTGGTGGAGTTCAGAATGCTCTTTGATTGAAGGCGAACTATAAATCCCAGCAACTATAACTCCCAAATGTCAAGGTCTAGTTTCCCCAAACTCTACCAGTGTTCACATTTGGGCATATTGAGTATTTGTGCCAAGTTTGGTCCCGATCCATCATTGTTTGAGACCACAGTACTCTCTGGATGTAGGTGAACTACAAGTCCCAAAACTCAAGGTCAGTGCCCACCAAACCCAATCCTCCCACCAAAGGCCCTCATCCACTGTGATTGGCTAGCCTCTCAGCAAAAGGGAGAGCTGTTCCAAGTGGGGAGGGAAGAGCAGGCATGCTCGGCACATGGCAGTTTCATGTGCATGTGCAGGTGTCACATGCCTTCACCACATCCACAACAATGACACCCGAAAATGCGAAAGTGTGCTGGGCCCATAACGCTGGGTTGGGGAATCTGGGTGTTAGGCTCAAAATAACACTCAGTTGGGGTGGAATTACCCTCAGTTGGGGTGATTCCACCTTAAATATAGCAGAGTCCCAGAAGTGAACATGTGATGAGCTGGGATAAGATTCTATTTTTTAGGATGACACAGGATTGCAAAATCAGAACTTTAGGTTCAAAAATATTTATTGAAGTCAGATAAATACATTCTTGATAGAAAAGGCCTTGGAGCTCAGTAGCTTATTGAGTTTCATCTTCTAAAGTGGTAAAAAGGGTAAAAAGTCCATGCAGCTACATTTTGCCTAAAAGGGTAAAAAGTCCATGCAGCTACATTTTGCCTAGAAGGGTAAAAAGGGTAAAAAGTCATGCAGCTACATTTTGCCTAGAAGGGTAAAAAGGGTAAAAAGTCTATGCAGCTACATTTTGCCTAGAAGGGTAAAAAGGGTAAAAAGTCCATGCAGCTACATTTTGGCCTAGAAGGGTAAAAAGTCCATGCAGCTACATTTTGGCCTAGAAGGGTAAAAAGGGTAAAAAGTCCATGCAGCTACATTTTGCCTAGAAGGGTAAAAAGGGTAAAAAGTCCATGCAGCTACATTTTGCCTAGAAGGGTAAAAAGGGTAAAAAGTCCATGCAGCTACATTTTGCCTAGAAAGGTAAAAAGGGTAAAAAGTCCATGCAGTTACATTTTGCCTAGAAGGGTAAAAAGGGTAAAAAGTCCATGCAGCTACATTTTGCCTAGAGAGAGGCAAAATGTGTCCTTACTGGAAGAAAGAAAAGCAGAAGAGGCTAGAAAATGGTGGAGACCGCATGGCCAATGCCAGGGCAATAAAAATACCTTTAAAAAGGAAGTTCTTTTGCACGCTGCCATTGCAAACTACGGGAATCACGCCTCAGATGATGTGGTCATACTCTCCGAGGTGAAGACAGGTCCATTTGCCAGATTGCTCTTGATTTAGAAGTGCCGGGCAAGAGGCCAAAGGGATGACTGAAGCCGTTGCACAACGATCTGAAGACTGCTGATCGGGCGCATGATGGGGTGAAATGGTGTCCACACACCAGTAAAGCAGACCCCGCCATCAAGCAGGACAAACACTGAAGGAAAACAAGGTGAAATAGAGAGGATTGGGTTGGGAGTGGTTTTGACCCCAAGGCTTCTGTTTCAGTCAACAAAGGAAAGAAATTAGTCCTTTTATGAAGGGTGTAAAGGTAAATGTTTCCCCCTGACATTAAGTCCAGTTGTGTCCAACTCTGGAGTGTGGTGCTCATCTCCATTTCTAAGCCAAAGAGCCGGCGTTGTCCATAGACACCTCCAAGGTCATATGGCCGGTATGACTGCATGGAGCGCTGTTACCTTCCCGCTGAATTTGATCTACTCACATTAGCATGTTTTCGAATTGCTAGGTTGGCAGAAGCTGGGGCTGACAGCGGAAGCTCACGCCGCTCCCCGGATTTGAACCTGCGAACTTTCATATAATCAAAGAGTTGGAAGAGACCTCATGGGCCATCCAGTCCAACCCCCTGCCAAGAAGCAGGAATATTGCATTCAAATCACCCCTGACAGATGGCCATCCAGCCTCTGTTTAAAAGCTTCCAAAGAAGGAGCCTCCACCACACTCCGGGGCAGAGAGTTCCACTGCTGAACGGCTCTCCACAGTCAGGAAGTTCTTCCTCATGTTCAGATGGAATCTCCTTTCTTGTAGTTTGAAGCCATTGTTTTGTGTCCTCATCTCCATGGAAGCAGTAATCAAGCTTGCTCCCTCCTCCCTGTGGCTTCCTCTCACATATTTATACATGGCTATCATATCTCCTCTCAGCCTTCTCTTCTTCAGGCTAAACATGCCCAGCTCCTTAAGCCGCTCCTCATAGGGCTTGTTCTCCAGACCCTTGATCATTTTAGTGCTCTCCTCTGGACACATTCCAGCTTTTCAATATCTCTCTTGAATTGTGGTGCCCAGAATTGGACACAATATTCCAGGTGTGATCTAACCAAAGCAGTAGAGGGGGAGCATGACTTCCCTGGACCTAGACACTATGCTCCTATTGATGCAGGCCAAAATCCCATTGGCTTTTTTTTTGCCACCACATCACATTGTTGGCTCATGTTTAACTTGGTGTCCATGTCTTTTTCACACGCACTGCTCTCGAGCCAGGCATCGTCCCCCATTCTGTCTCTTTGCATTTCGTTTTTCCTGCCTAAGTGGAGTATCTTGCATTTGTCCCTGTTGAACTTCATTTTGTTAGTTTTGGCCCATCATCTCTTTAATCTGTCAAGATCGTTTTGAATCCTGCTCCTGTCCTCTGGAGTATTGGCTCTCCCTCCCAATTTGGTGTCGTCTGCAAACTTGATGATCATGCCTTCTAGCCCTTCATCTAAGTCATTAATAAAGATGTCAAAAAGTTTACCAGCTCAGCAGTCCTTTGTATTCCTTTGTCCTCCTCTTTGTTCACTTCTGGCTTCTCTTCTCTTTGCAGCCCAATGATCCGGTCACCAACATCTGCCAGGCGGCAGACAAGCAGCTCTTCACGCTGGTGGAGTGGGCCAAAAGGATCCCCCATTTCTCCGAACTGCCCCTGGATGACCAGGTCATCTTGCTCAGAGCCGGTGAGTATGCTTGCATAGCCGGTAAGGAACGGTGGCAAATAGCCAATTGTGGTCTACCAAGTCCTCTTTTGGTTGCATCTCTCTGGTTGGGGGCTTAGCAAAGTGTGGTATCGAATGTGGTATGTTCGTGACACATACCAGCAGAAGTTGGTTTTACAATTGTGTACGTTTTGTTTTGGGTATTGTAGAGGTTGATATTCATAGCCTATTTTCGCAGAGTATGCCTGAAAACCTGTTCATGACACATACCAGCAGAAGTCGGTTTTACAATTGTGTACATCTTGTTTTGGATATTGCGGAGTTTGCTATTCTTAGCCTACCTTTGCAATTTCCATAAATCCTTCCCTGCAGGACTTGCTCTTGCACTGTTGTGATGCCCTTATTGCTTTCCATTGCTGGTGAGTGCTAAATGGGTGAAAGATTGGTCAAGAATTCCCAATGCATCCATCACCCAAGTCAAAAAAGAAGCACCATTAAAGCCTTGGCAGATAGTACAAAATGAATCTGCGAAGCCCACCTTTGGAGCCATGGAGAAGAAGAACTCAACAGGTTCCTAGACCATCTGAACAGCATCCACTCAAACATCCAGTTCACCATGGAAAAAGAAAATGAAGGAAGACTGCCTTTTCTAGATGTCCTAGTCGTCTGCAAACCAGATCAACAATTGGGTCACACCGTTTACAGAACACCCCCCCCCCCACACACACAGATAGATATCTACATAAAAACTCCAACCATCACCCAAGTCAAAAAAGAAGCACCATTAAAGCCTTGGCAGACCATGCAAAAAGAATCTGCGAAGCCCACCTCCTCCAAGATGAACTGAACCACCTCAACTGGGCTCTCCAGGCCAATGGAGACTCCACCTCAGACATCAGAAGAGCTGCAAGACAACCGAGAAGAAGCCACGAGAGTCAAGATGAAGATCCTCCCAGAGGGAAAGTGTTCTTGCCATACATCAAGGGAACCACTGACTGCATAGGGAAGCTGATGAGGAAACACAACACACAAACAATCTACAGACCCACCAAGAAAATCCAACAAATGCTCCGTTCAGCAAAGGACAAGAGGGATCCTCTCACCTCTGCAGGAGTCTACCATGTACCATGCAGCTGTGGACACGTCTACAGAGGGATCACCAAACGCAGCAGCATTGCCCAAACATGAATCAAGGAACACGAAAGGCACGGCAGACTACGTCAACCAGAGAAGTCAGCCAGAGCAGAGCACCTGATGAACCAAACTGGGCACAGCAGATTATTGGAGAAGATAGAAATACTGGACCACTCTCACAACCACCATGTCAGACTACACAGAGAAGCCATTGAAACCCACAATGTCAACAGAAAGGAGGAAACCATGAAAATGAACAAAATCTGGCTACCACTATTAAAAAAACCTCTAAAATTAGAACAGCACAACAACAGAGAGGAAACAAACAAGGACATCTAATCACCTCTTAACAAAAGTTTGCTCCAGGCACTGTCAGCCCATTGTATGCTAATCAAGGTGGTCAGTTGAAACATTTACACCTAGCTCCAGCAGACAAGAGTCCTTTGTCCCACCCTGGTCATTCCACAGATATATAAACCCTTTTTCCTAGTTCCAACAGACCTCACTACCTCTGAGGATGCTTGCCATAGATGTAGGCGAAACGTCAGGAGAGAATGCCTCTAGACATTCTCGTGGTATTATTATTTCGCCCACATCTATGGCCGGCATTCTCAGAGGTTGTGAGATCTGTTGGAAACTAGGCAAGTGAGGTTTAGATATCTGTGGAATAATGTCCAGAGTGGGAGAAAGAACTCTTGTCTGTTTGAGGTAGGTGTGAATGGTGCAATTGGCCACCCTGATTAGCATTAAATAGTCTTGCAGCTTCAATGCCTGGCTGCTTCCTGCCTGGGGGAATCCTTTGTTGGGAGGTGTTAACTGACCCTGATTGTTTCCCTGTCAAATTTCAAAAAGCAAGGTGGCCCCTGTTGGCTCCACGGCTTTAAAAGTTTGAGAAGCCCTGCTCAAGACAGAGTGGACACACTATCTCATGGATCCAGCAATGGCTTTCCTATAGGTACCTTCTAAGGTAGCTAATACCCCCCTAAAGATTTAAGCTGCAATACAATTGTGCCAAGGCAGAGGCACAGGGAAATCCTGACGCCACTCTGAGCTAAGTTTTAGTCCTTCAATATTTCATGGGTAGTTGCGCTCTTCAGGCGTCTCCTTGTGCTCAATTATACATAACGCCGCTGGTTAAAAGACTCTGGGGGTCAAATGAGGATGCATCTGATAAAGACACTGGCAGCCCTGGTGCACTTGCCTGTGCCTGTCTGACAAGTGAGCGCTTTTCTGCCAATGGCGGAGCATCCCTCCTGGCAAGGAAGGGCAGAATCACGAGGGGCACCCCCAAGGGCCATCTAGCCGAGTCCTTTGGCATAAGAAAGGAGAATAGAGCTTCCACTTGTTGTTGTTGTTGTTGTTGTTGCTGTTGTTTATTCGTTCAGTCGTTTCGGACTCTTCGTGACCTCCTGGACCAGCCCAAGCCAGAGCTCCCTGTTGGCCGTTACCATCCCCAGCTCCTTCAAGGTCAATCCAGTCACTTCAAGGATACCATCCATCCATCATGCCCTTGGTCGGCCCCTCTTCCTTTTTCCTTCCATTTTCCCCAGCATCATTGGCTTCTCTAAGCTTTCCTGTCTTCTCATAATGTGGTCAAAGTACTTCATCTTTGGGTTGTAGGTTTTTACGGGCTATATGGCCATTATAATAATAATAATAATAATAATATAATAATGTATTATTATATATGTATGCGTGTGTGTGTATATATACATACATACATACATATATACACACACATTATAATATATTATTATTATTATTATACATATAATAATAATAATAATAATAATATAATAATGTATTATTATGTATGTATGTATATTAAGCTTGGGCGATCAAGAAAAAAATTGGTTCTAAACTCGTTTCGTTTCTAGGGTGCGCTAGCGTTTCAAAATTCTGAGGACTTCCGAAATTTAAGATTTCAAAATTTCGAAATTTCCGAAATTTCGTAAATTACGAATCGATTCGTTAATGGTGGACGCGATTGCGCAATATGCTAAAAAAACCTCCAAATGGGACAGGGGGAACTTCTGAAGCTTCCCTCTCCCTCTGTTGTTGACTGTTGGTGTGATAAAACAAACAACTATATTATATTACTATATTATATTACTATTATATTATAATATTATTATATTATATTATTGTATATTATATTATATTATTATATTATTATATTATATATTATTATAATAATATAATATAATATAATATAATAATTTATTATATTATATTATATATATTATATTATTATAATATTATTATATTATATTGTTGTATATTATATTATTATATATTATATTATATATTATATATTATTATATTATATTATAATATACAATTATAATATAATATAATAATAATATAGTAATATAATATAAATTTAATAATATAATGTACAATACTATAATATAATAGTATTATAATAATATAATATAAATATAATATATAATATATATTATATTATTATAATATTATTATATAATATATTATGTTATAATTGTATATTATATTATATACTAGTTGTACCTGGCAACGCATTTTTGTGGCATAGAGTGAGGGTATGAAAAATAAAGTAATGAGAAATTTTGGGTTAATTACGAAATAATTACGAAATAATTACGAAAACTGGAAAAAATTGTTTCGATTCTTAATTACTCCTCACACTATTCCTGCATGGCTTGATATTGGATCGTAAGCTAATTTAAATACGAATCAATAACGAATTACGAAATTAACGAACTGGATTGCCCAAGCCTAATGTATATACATACATTATATATACACACACTATAATATATTATATATATTATATACATTATATATATTATTATAATACATATTATTATTATTATAAATAATAATAATAACAAAGACTCTGGCACAAGCCAGTAAAGATGGTCCCAGTGGTGATCGGCACATTGGGTGCAGTGCCTAAAGACCTTGGCCTGCACTTAAACACAATCGACGCTGAGAAAATCACCATCTGCCAGCTGCAGAAGGCCACCTTACTGGGATCTGCACGCATCATTCACCGATACATCACACAGTCCTAGACTCTCGGGAAGTGTCCGACGTGTGATCCAATTCAACAGCCAGCAGAGTGTCTGCTGTGGACTCATCTTGTTGTGTTTCAAATAATAATAATAATAATAATAATAACACAAACAGCTGAAACCGCAGAGGCCATCTAGTCCTAACCCATTCTGCTGTGCAGGAAAAGCACAATCAAAGCACTCCCAACAGATGGCCTACCCGCCATAAGGGCTCCATGGAGTACAATTTGAGAACCACTGTCCTTGAGGCTATGGTTCAGTACTTTGGATAGCTCTTTCATAGTTCAGGCACCAATCTGAAGCAGATTTGCTGCCGTGTTGGTTTTCTAAAGAGACCTCCAGAGTTGAAAATGCACAACTAGGCTGAAGTGATCAAAAGCTGGCGCTGGAAATTACAGGATTCTAAAGCCCATCAACCATGAACTTTCAGTAGAAGCCAAATTGACCACAGTAATACCCTCAAAATGTAGTATCAACTTGTAAATTCTGTATCCTAATCCAGTTGGATATCTTGAGCTCCTTCCTAATAGAGTTGAGAAGGATGCCATAGTTAACCAAGTGCGGCCAGCATTTCGATGGGTTGGATTCATTGCAAATTAAGCTGTTGTTTGGGTTTCCTCGTTGCCCAAATTAGTACAAAACCATGAAAAGAAACTGGCAAGGGCATGTTAGAAGGGAAGGAGTGTGTTTTTGGTAAGCCCAAGGGCTTCTGCAGAGGAAAAGTACTCTCAGAAGCTTGGAGAGGACATCTTGAGCCTGTTGGCAAGAGTTGGAAGACTCATCTCCTTTCAAGAGAAGGTTGGCAAGATTTCAGCCTTGGTTCGCAATCCGCCCCCGAGTCTCTCACTCTGTCTTGGCTGTTGAAGGATGTCTTGATGCACCAGGTTGGCAATCACCTTGGCTGTGTACAAAAAGAGTCCATGTCAACACTTGCCTGGGGTGACTCATAGACTCATAGACTTAGAAGAGACTCCAAAGCCACCCAACCCAATTGATGGCCATTCCTTTTTGTGCAGACTTCTCAACCCCTTCCTCTCCTTGTTGCATTCTTTCCAGGTTGGAACGAATTGCTCATTGCGTCCTTCTCTCACCGATCCATAGCTGTGAAAGATGGGATCTTGCTCGCCACGGGTCTACACGTCCACCGGAATAGTGCTCACAGTGCGGGGGTCGGCGCCATCTTTGACAGGTGAGGAGACAAGATCATGTGTGCATATTTAGAAACTTAGATCCAGACCCTTGATCATAGAATCCTAGAGTTGGAAGAGACCTCATAGGCCATCCAGTCCAACCCCATTCTGCCAAGAAGCAGGAAAATCGCATTCAAAGCACCCCCGGCAGATGGTCATCCAGCCTCTGTTTAAAAGCCTCCAAAGAAGGAGCCTCTACCACACTCTGGGGCAGAGAGTTCCACTGCTGAACGGCTCTCACAGTCAGGAAGTTCTGAATCATGTTCAGATGGAATCTCCTTTCTTGTAGTTTGAAGCCATTGTTCCATTGCGTCCTAGTCTCCAGGGAAGCAGAAAACAAGCTTGCTCCCTCCTCCCTGTGGCTTCATCTCACATATTTATACATGGCTATCATATTTCCTCTCAGTTTTCTTTTCTTCAGGCTAAAAATGCCCAGCTCCTTAAGCCGCTCCTCATAGGGCTTGTTCTCCAGACCCTTGATCATTTTAGTCACATATTTATACATGGCCCTCATCATATCATTAAAGAAGTATAGTTTATTGCTGAAACAAACACAAAACAGCCCAAAACATCATGTTGCTCTTCCTCATAGTCTTGCTCGCGAGTAGTTTTCTTGCCTCTCCTAATACAACTAGTGTTACTATCACTGCCAGCAGACTCTATCACAACAATATACATTAGAAGCTACTTAACACTCAGCACATCATAAACTTGCTTCATTACCATCCGAGATCATAACATAGAGAACACTGTTATCAGTACTAGTCCACACCTCTTGCATTCCAGAGTGATGTAGTACGACCACTATGGCTGCGTCCATTTGTTCTATACACTTGATTTATGACTTCTCTGGGAATGCCGTTCCCTCCATGGTTCAGTTAACTCTTTCCACACAGGAATACACTCGGCACATAGCTACTGCATTTTGAACATACATTCATACTTTGAAATCTACATTTTAAATTGCAAACAGCTCCAACAGGACCAAATTTGGCACAAATGCCAAATAATTTTCCTTTAGGCGATTGTGGGAAGAGGGTGTTTCAAATATACAACCCTCTTGCTTTTGTTGTTGTGTGTATCCAGAGTATTGACAGAGCTGGTGTCGAAAATGCGAGACATGCAGATGGACAAGACAGAGCTGGGGTGTCTCCGAGCCATCGTCCTCTTCAACCCCGGTAGGTTGAGCTACATTTCCTTACTGGGGGAATGTACATGCGTGTGCAAAAGCGAACCTGAAATTGGACACAAAGGTGCAAAGTGGGAACGGGCAACTATGGGAGGCCTTAGCTGGCCAGATCAGCAAACTACATTGTCTCTAGAATATTATGGAAATGCCCCTAGAAGACATTTTTGGGCATTATTATTATTATTATTATTATTATTATTATTATTATTATTTCGTATCCACCTCTCCTCGTGGTTTAACTGTTTTCCTTCCACTTGCAGACTCAAAGGGCCTATCGAATCCTGCCGAAGTTGAGGCTTTGCGTGAAAAGGTGTACGCGTCGTTGGAGGCCTACTGCAAACACAAATATCCCGACCAGCCCGGGAGGTGAGTTTTCACATCAGGTAGTGAGATACGGTTGGATGGATACTGGGAGAATTTGCTTTCTGACTGGGAGAATTTGCTTTCTGCAGAAGACTAATGGGGTGCATCAACACCCCTAGAAACCTTGGAGTATTCTCTTGAGTATTCTTTGCCCAAGAAAACCCTACAAGATGCGTGAGCTCACCATGAGAGGCATCTGATGATGGACCCATTGGACATTGCAGTTTTGTTTATTTTTATGGCATTTCTCCACTGCGCTTATTTAATTATGGGGCTAAATAGCTCAAAGGCACAAGATTTTGTCTGATCTTGGAAGCTAAGGAGGGTCAGCCAGTTAGGACTTGGGAAGGAGACCACCAATGAATCTCTGGTGCTTTAGGGTATATTCCAGAGGAAGGAACTAGCAAAACCATCTCTGAGCATTCCTTGCCCGAGAAAACCCTAAAAAATGCATGGGCTCACCATGAGTCTGCATATGACTTGAAGGCACCAGATCACATCCCATCTTGGAAGCCAAGCAAGGTTGCTCCTCAGATGTGAATCTGAGTCTCATCGGTGATATAATAAAATAATGTATTATTTATTTATTTATTTATTTATTTTGCTTATATACCGCTGTTCTCAGCCCAGGGGCGATTCACAGCGGTGTACAACATAGGAACCACAAAATTCAAGACACAGTATAAAACAATTCACAATCCAGCATTATACAAAAACATCGTCATTACTACGAAAACCATTCAGCGTCGTCTTATCGTCCAGGCCACAATCCAGTATCATTTCCGTTGTTCCATTCCTATAGTCATTACCAATCATTGCACTTCTTGTTTGAACGCCTTCTTGAACAACCAAGTCTTTAATTTCCTGCGGAATATCATCAGGGAAGGAGCCAGTCTAATGTCCACGGGAAGGGTGTTCCACAGCCGAGGAGCCACCACCGAGAAGGCCCTATCTCTCGTCCCCGCCAGCCGTGCTTGTGAAGCAGGCGGGATCGAGAGCAGGGCCTCCCCGGAAGATCTCAAAGTCCTGGTGGGCTCGTAGGTCGAGATGCAGTCGGATAGGTATCTTGGGCCGGAACCGTTTAGGGCTATTATTATTATATGTGTGTGTGTGTGTATATAAATAATACAAATAGCAGAAACCCCAGGGGCCATCTAGTCCTACCCCATTCTGCTGTGCAGGAAAAGCACAATCAAAGCACTCCTAACAGATGGCCTCCCTGCCTTATGGTATAATAATAATAATAATAATAATAATAATAATAATTGTTATTATTATTATTATTTATTATTATTATTATTATTATATAATGTGTTATTATAATATATAATATATAATAATAATATTTATATAAATATAAATAATAATAATTATATAATGTATTATTATTATATAATGTATTATTATTATATATGTAATATAATATATAATAATAATATAACATATAATAATAATAATAATAATAATAATAATAATAATAACAACACAAATAGCAGAAACCCCAGGGGCCATCTAGTCCCAACAGCACAATCAAAGCACTCCCAACAGATGGCCTCCCTGCCTTACGGTATAATAATAATAATAATAATAATAATAATAATAATAATATAATGTATTATTATAATATATGTAATATAATAATAATAATAATAATAATAATAATAATAATAATAATACAAATAGCAGAAACTCCACTGGGCCATCTAGTCCTAGCCCATTCTGCTGTGCAGGAAAAGCACAGTCAAAGCACTCCCAACAGATGGCTTCCCTGCCTTATGGTATAATTACTATTATGATATTATTATTATTATTATTATTATTATTATTATTATTATTATATAATGTATTATTATTATATAATGTATTATTATAATATATGTAATATAATAATAATAATAATAATAACAACAGAAACTCCACTGGGCCATCTAGTCCTACCCCGATCCTCTGATGTGCCAGTAAAAACACAAAGCCTCCAACAATTGCCTCCCTGCCTTTGGTATAATAATATAATAATAATAATTATATAATTATATAATTATATTATTATAATATATGTAATATAATAATAATAATAATAATAATAATAATAATAATAATAATAATACAAATAGCAGAAACCCCAGGGGCCATCTAGTCCTACCCCATTCTGCTGTGCAGGAAAAGCACAATCAAAGCACTCCTAACAGATGGCTTCCCTGCCTTACGGTATAATAATTATTATATATTATTATGGTATTATTATTATTATTATTATTATTATTATTATATAATGTATTATTATAATATATTAATAATAATAATAATAATAATAATAATAATAATAATAGCAGAAACTCCACTGGGCCATCTAGTCCTACCCCATTCTGCTGTGCAGGAAAAGCACAATCAAAGCACTCCCAACAGACGGCCTCCCTGCCTTACGGTATAATAATAATTATTGTATATTATTATGGTATTATTATTATTATTATTATTATATAATGTATTATTATAATATATGTAAAATTATAATAACAATAATAATAATAATAATAATAATAATAATAATAATAATAATAATAATACAAATAGCAGAAACTCCACTGGGCCATCTAGTCCTACCCCATTCTGATGTGCAGGAAAAACACAAAGCACTCCCAACAGATAGCCTCCCTGCCTTATGGTATAATAATAATAATAATAATAATAATAATAATAATAATAATTATTATTATTATTAAATAATAATTATTATAATATATGTAAATAATAATAATAATACAGATGGCAGAAACTCCACTGGGCCACCTGGTCCTAGCCCATTCTGCTGTGCAGGAAAAGCACAATCAAAGCATTCCCAACAGATGGCCTCCCTGCCTTACGGTATAATAATAATAATAATAATAATAATAATAATAATAATAATTATATAATGTATTATTATAATATATGTGAAATAATAATAATAATAATAATAATAATAATAATAATAATAATACAAATAGCAGAAACTCCACTGAGCCATCTAGTCCTAGCCCATTCTGCTGTGCAGGAAAAACACAATCAAAGCACTCCCAACAGATAGCCTCCCTGCTGTAAGGCCTCCGCAGAGCACAGATTAAGAACCATTGGTTTGTGAAAGCTCCTTTTGCTGTGTCGTCTCATTCAGTTCAAAAGCAGCAAGAGACAGAACGGTGATTTTTTCTCCCCCTCGCAGCATATCCATTTGCATCTGTTAAGAAATGGATTCCCTTTGGCACACTACGTTGCGTGGGCGCCTCCTCTGTATGCATGCCAAGGAACTGGGAGACGGACATTTCCCGGCTACCCTTGAATTGCAACCAGGAGCCGATCCAAGGATTGCATCTCCATCTTGTGGGCAAAGGCCTGCCTAAGGAGAGCGTGCCTTGTGTTTGTGTGTTAAGTCATTCCCACTCTTTGGGTCGTGAGGCCGAAATGGGGGGCAGCGCAGTGGAAATGTTCCAAGGAGTCGTTATATTTTCGCCCCTCCGCCCAACTCCTTTGGCAGGGCACTGGGTACGTGACCTTACACATCCCCTGAATGTTAACCCAGTCCTATTGGGATCCCTCTTACCCTTCCATTGCAATGTTTTGCCGAGCCAGGGAACTCATAGTTAAACCCTTCCCGAACGCCCGTCATCTGGTTTAGTTTAAAAGGGACGCTTTCAGAGATGGGGGGAGGAGGAGGAGGCCAACGGGAATGGCAGCGTTTGATTTGTATTTTCCTGGCCTTTGTCCCATTCCGCTTGCCAACTCAGCATTTCGAGGAGGCGAAAGGGGGAGGCGTGGGATGGGACTGTGGGACTCGGATCCAACCCATGCCTCCGCCCCTTCCTTCCATTGGCTGGGGGCTTTCCAGGTTTCCAACATGCACCGAAACTTTGGAAACGGCACGTTGCTGGCCTGCAGCGCGACGGCAAATATAAACACATGAGGTCACTGTGAAGTATTCAGGAGGGATTTCCGTGGATAATGGACATACAGAAGAACTGAAGTTTAGGAGCATGAGTTGCCCTCTGTCTTCCCCGAAAACATTGGCAGTCTACAACCCACATACACCCCAGAAAGAAACATGTTGTGTGTTCTTGATACTTAGGTACGTTCATAACATACAGGGGCGGCTAACCCATTACGCAGAGTAAGCATTTGCAGTATAGTTCATTTTGCCTAGGGGTGCAAAATGCGAGTTGTAGTAAATAAAAATAATGTAGGTAAAGGTAAAGGTAGTCCCCTGACATTAAGTCCAGTCATGTCTGACTCTGGGGTGTGGTGCTCATCTCCATTTCTAAGCCGAAGAGCCAGCGTTGTCCGTAGACACCTCCAAGGTCATGTGGCCGGCATGACTGCATGGAGTGCCGTTACCTTCCCGCCGGAGCGGTACCTATTGATCTACTCACATTTTCATGTTTTCGAACTGCTAGGTTGGCAGAAGCTAGGGCTGACAGCGGAAGCTCATGCCGCTCCCCGGAATCGAACCTGCGACCTTTCAATCAACAAGCTCAGCAGCTCAGTGCTTTAACCCACTGCGCCACCGGGGGCTCCTACTGGAATGTATAGTTCACCTAAAATCAAAGAGCATTCTGAACTCCACCAATGATGGAATTGAACCAAATATGGCACACAGAACTCCCACGATGAACAGAAAATATATATCGGTGATTGGTTGGGAAGGGGCACCACAATACGATTGAAAATTACCTAGGACCACCTCTGATATCATATCACATGAATCCTACAAATGTTAAAAGAGGGATTACTGTAATCCTACAGATGTTACAGACTGGATTACTGTAATGCACTCTATGTGGGGCTGCCCTTGAAGACGGCTCGGAAATTACAATTGGTCCAGCGGGCGGCAGCCAGGTTACTTACTGGGGCGACTTACAGGGAGCGGTCAACCCTCCTGTTTAAGGAGCTCCACTGGCTGCCGTTCATTTTCCGGTCCCAATTCAAGGTGCAGGTTCTTACCAACAAAGCCCTGAACGGTTTGGGACCCGCCTACCTGCGTGACCACATTTCTGTGTATGAACCCATGCGATCTCTTTGATCATCTGGAGATGTTCTGCTCGCGCTCCCACACCTGAAATACTGTGTCCAATTCTGGGCACCATTGAAGAGAGAGATTGACAAGCTGGAATGTGTCCAGAGGAGGGCGACTAAAATGATCAAGGGTCTGGAGAACAAGCCCTATGAGGAGCGGCTTAAAGAGCTGGGCATGTTTAGCCTGAAGAAGAGAAGGCTGAGAGGAGATATGATAGCCATGTATAAATATGTGAGAGGAAGCCACAGGGAGGAGGGAGCAAGCTTGTTTTCTGCTTCTCTGGAGACAAGGACGCGGGACAATGGCTTCAAATTAAAAGAAGGGAGATTCCTTCTGAACATGAGGAAGAACTTCCTGACTGTGAGAGCCATTCAGCAGTGGAACTCTCTGCCCCGGAGTGTGGTGGAGGCTCCTTCTTTGGAAGCTTTTAAACAGAGGCTGGATGGCCATCTGTCAGGGGTGCTGTTGGTCGTGGGAGTTCTGTGTGCCAAGTTTGGTTCAATTCCATCATTAGTGGAGTTCAGAATGCTCTTTGATTGTAGGTGAACCAGCAACTACAGCTCCCACGGGATAAAATCAGTCCCCCCGTCACCCCCACCAACCCCACCAGTATTCATATTTGGACGTATTGGGTATTTGTGTCAAATTTGTGAATGAATATACATCCTGCATACCAGATATTTACATTACGATTCATAACAGTCACAAAATGACAATTATTAAGTAGCTATGGAAATAATGTGATGGTTGGGGGTCACCACAACATCAGGAACGGTATTAATGACAGTTATGAAGTAGCAACAAAAATAATTTTATGGTTGGGGAGTCACCATAACACGAGGAAATGTATTAAGGGGTCACGGCATTAGGAAGGTTGTGAATCACTGTATTATTTATATGTAATGGCATCGAATTGTGCCGAATGTAAGCCGCCCCGAGTCGTCGTCCCGGGGGGGGGGGGGGGGGGGGGGGGGGGGGGGGGGGGGGGTTGAGAAGTGTGGGGTAAAAATGTTTGAAATAAATAAATAAATACATCCTGCACATCAGATATTTACATGACGATTCGTAACAGTGGCCAAATGACAGTTCTGAAGTAGCAACGAAAATAATGTTATGGTTGGGGGTCACCACAACATGAGGAACTGTAATAAGGGGTCGCGGCATTCGGAAGGTTGAGAAACATTGTTCTAAGGGTTCTTGTAACTTTTGGGTTTCTTCTGTAGGTTCGCCAAGCTCTTGCTTCGCCTCCCCGCCCTCCGGTCCATTGGCCTGAAATGCTTGGAGCACCTCTTCTTCTTCAAGCTAATAGGGGACACGCCGATCGACACGTTCTTAATGGAGATGCTGGAAGCACCCCATCAAATGACTTAAGAGGCGAGGAACAGTCCCTTTCTTTCTTACCCAGCCGACTTCCTGCCACCACCGCGACGCCTCCCGTCCGGCCGATATCACGTCCTTCTCCTGGTACAAGAGACACCGCCCACTCGTCTCCGCCTGGCACCCTGCCTGGCAACACGGTTGACTCAGCCCTTTGGCCGCTTTCACGCCAATCTCTGTGCATCTGAGGATCGGCTTTCGCAATCCCTTTCGCAGACGTCGAGGCAGACTGGTCTTGAAGTGCGCAAAGGACGCACCCGCTTGTTTCCCGCATTGTGTGCCCGGCACGTCTTTTCCTAAGCACAGGGTGGATTCTGCAATTGGGGCCCCACTCATCTCTCTCCTTTTTGTGGCTTTGGGTATCCCCAGGCACATGCACACACACACACACACACAAATACACATACACTGGGGTATATGGGGGTGACTTTAATTTGCTTGTGTCGTTGCAGACGAGTGGACTTGTTGCCGAATGAAAGGATTGTCATTTCAAAACAAACAAGAAAATAACAACCACCCAAATATATATAGATATATATTCCCTATTTGAATCTAACTTGGAGTTGAGTTTGAAGTTTAGGAGCCATCACTTATTTAAGAGCAAGGGATTATGGGAGACAGGGCAGTTCATATGTAGCAGGTTGGAATCCCACACAGATCAGAACGGCAGTGTTATCATTCTCTTTTTGTGTTGTTTTTCCAATATAGAGGCTGCTTTTAGGATGTGATGCTCACAATCTCCAGGCCCTTGCCTTTGCTTACTCAGTGATATATTACGATATATCATAATATATATTATGATATATTATGCTATACGGGATTGGAATTGTTCTGTTATGGAACAATCCCAGTGGGGCTGAAAGTATGACTCTCGTCCCCCACGTTTACAATAGAAAATTGTGATCAGGCGGTGAGGAATTGCCATAACATTGAAAATGGGTTTGCTGTATGGAGTCCCAATATGTGTGAAAGCTCAGTGTGACTCCCAAAGGTCTGTGGATTGTGACTGACAACTTAAAGTCTGCCTTGTTCTCTCTGGTTTGCATTTCATATCCTCCACTTTGCTTCTCCTTTCGTTTTGTCGAACTTCCATCCGGTCCTGGTGTTTTTCCCATTTTAAAATTCCATCCGGTCCTGGTGCTTTTCCCATCTTCAATTTCCATCCGGTCCTGGTGCTTTTCCCATCTTAAAATTCCATCCGGTCCTGATGCTTTTCTCATCTTCAATTTCCATCTGGTCCTGATGCTTTTCTCATCTTAAAATTCCATCCGGTCCTGATGCTTTTCCCATCTTCAATTTCCATCTGGTCCTGGTGCGTTTCCCATCCTAACCTATGGGCATGTGTTCAGCTACACTTTCTTGCCTCCTTTTTTTTTTTTTTTGCCAACCTTGATTTCTCTTGGGTGAAGGGTGTTACAAAGAGGGCAAAAATAATTCATGAGGAAGAACACGAACTCAGAGGGATTGCCGCAGTTTGCTTTTGCCTGATGCTATGGAAAAGCAAGATTTGGCCGCTTTTCTTCCTCTCTAGTTGAGTTGAACTGGATTTTGCCCTTTGCGATGATGGGAGTAAGCGTGTGGGGAAAGTGGGAAGTAGAGCGAGAAACCAGGACATTGTAAAGAGAACTGGAAAAAGTGGCAGAAGATTGTCAAATCAGGACAATTGGAATGGATGCACTTATTCGGAGAGATAACCCATGGAGGTCTAAGAGGGAACCTTGCGAGAGGAAAGGGAAAAAGATGATGCATTAAAGAGCCATACACACACACACACACATATATATATGATCACAACCCATTCGGCTCCTGGCCAATGAATCCAAAGATGCTGCATTTTCCCGAACGACTGTCCCGGTGGGCCACGTCACCTAATGCGACCGCATGATGCATTTTTAAGTTGATACATATGTGTGTGTATACATGTATGTAGTCTAGATATATTCACTGTATAAATATCCTTTTTCACATATACATATATTATTCCCACGTTAGTGCTACCTTTGTGTTCTTGGATCATTTCTTTTCTTTTGAAATTCTTGGTTTATTCTCTCTCCCCATTTTTTTTTTCATTTGCTTTATGAAAGCAAGGATTTCTTTTCCCGACGGAGCGGCCCTGTCCGTCTCCCCTTTTCCTGACCCCGAAACTGGATCTTTGTCACCTGAGAAGAGGGATATGTTGCATCTATTTTAAGATGCCGTTCTTTTTTTTTTTAATGGGGAGGGAAGGCGAAAAAAGCCACCAGTGGATCGAACAATAGCTTTAGTGATGCCCAATGCTTTCCCTGTGGAGTGCATAGCTGAAAAAAAAAATTAAAAAGAGAAGAATAAGAAGGTATGCAAACTATCTAAAGCGTGGAGAACGTTAAATATCTATTTTTGTACAAATGTAATTTTATCCCTTGCATATTCTTAGGAAAATATGGAATTTTTTTTTTGGAGGGGGGTTGCTTTTTCTGCGTTTATAGAATTTGTTCGCAATCTCTTTATCAGTACGCTTGGCTACAAACAGCTCTATGTTGGCCAGAGGAAGACCTCGACATTGCGTGATGTCCGGAAATCATCCCGATATCGTATTCTTTCGAATGAGTGGATTTTTAAAAATTCTCACCCCAGCTTTTTTTGGATACACAAAAATTAAAAAAAGCCTTTTCTTGCGTCCCCTCAAAATATTCCCCCCTCATCCCATCGCATTCCCTTGCCGGTCTACTCTACTGTGAAATCACTACCGTATATTATTGTTCACTAAAAAAAAAAAAGTTGAAAAAAATAATAAAGTAAATACAAAAAAAAATTCTGCTGGAAATGCCAGTATTTTGAAGAAATGTATTAGAATTGTTTTGAAAAAAAAGTAAAAGAAAAATATATGAGCATTTTAAAATATATCAGGTGGTTCTGCTTCTCTTTTTATTGGGAGACTAGCTTATTAGAGAAAGTGGGTAATGGTGGTTCTGTATGCCAAGTTTGGTCTTTATTGGTCATTGGATAACGGCTGCATTGTTTTCAGGACTTGAAGTCCCATCATCCACGGTCCACTCTCCTCCAAACAGCAGCAGGATATAGAGTGGGTCATGGGAGCTCTGTGTGCCGAGTTTGGTCTTTATCAGTCATTGGATGAGGGTGGCAGTGGTTTCAATAAGTGAGTGAAGGTACTGCAAGTCCCATCATCCAAAGTCCATCCTCCTTCAAACTGCAGCAGGATGTAGAGTGGGTCATGGGGGCTCTGTGTGCCAAATTTGGTCTTGATTGGTCATTAGATGAGGGTTGCAGCAGTCTTGGGAAGGAAGTGGAGGTACTTGAACTCCCATCATCCATGGTCTGTCCTCCTCTAAACTGCACCAGGATGTGGAGTAGGTCATTGGGGCTCCGTGTGCCAGTCATTGGCGAGGGTCTCAGTGGTCTCAGAAAGTGAGTGAAGTTACTGCACGTCCCATCATCCATCTCCATTTTTTTCCAAACGACACCAGGACGTAAAGTGGGTCATGAGAGGTCTATGTGCCAAGTTTGGTCTTGATCAGTCATTGGATGAGGTTCGCAGAGGTCTCAGAATGTGAGTGAAGGTACTGGAAGTCCCATCATCCATGGTCAACCCTCCTCTAAAACTGCAGCAGGTCATGGGGGCTCTGTGTGCCAAGTTTGGTCTTGATTGGTCATTAGATGGGGGTTGCAGCAGTCTTGGGGAGTGGAGGTACCTGAAGTCCCATCATACATGGTCTGTCCTCCTCGAAATTTTTTGCTCTATCATTATTATTATTATTACTGGCTTAGGTCCCCGGCCAAATTGAAAAAGACATTTTTTAATTGTACAAAATGCATAAGGTTGTGGGTGAACTACAACTCCCATCATGCCAGGTTAACCCCCAGAAAATCCCATCAGTGGTTAAAGTTTGTTGTGTTTGGCAAGTTTGCTCTAGATCAGTGTTTCTCAACCTGGGGGTCGGGACCCCTGTGGGGGTCGCGAGGGGGTGTCAGAGGGGTCACCAAAAACCATCAGAAAACACAATGTTTTCTATTGGTCATGGGGGTTCTGTGTGGGAAGTTTGGTCCAATCGTTGGTAGGGTTCAGAATGTTATTTCATTGAGGGGGAACTATAGGTCCCAGCAACTACAACTTCCAAATGTCAAGGTCTATTTTCCTCAAACTTCTCCAGTGTTCACATTTGGGAATATTGAGTATTCATGCCAAGTTTGATCCAGATCCATCATTGTTTGAGTCCACAGTGTTCTCTGGATATAGGTGAACTACAACTCCAAAACTCAAGATCAACATCCACCAAATTCTTCCAGTATTTTCTGTTGGTCATGGGAATTCTGTGTGCCAAGTTTGGTTCAATTCCATTGTTGGTGGAGTTTGGAATGCTCTTTGATTATAGTTGAACTATAAATCCCGGCAACTACAACTCCCAAATGTCAAGGTCTATTTTCCTCAAACTCCTCCAGTGTTCACATTTGGGCATATTGAGTATTTATGGCAAGTTTGGTCCAGATCCATCATTGTTTGAGTCCACAGTGTTCTCTGGATGTAGGTGAACTACAACTCCAAAACTCAAGGTCAATGCCCACCAAATCCTTCCAGTATTTTCTGTTGGTCATGGGAATTCTGTGTGTCAAGTTTGATTCAATTCCATCACTGGTGGAGTTCAGAAGCCTCTTTTATTTTAGGTGGACTATAAATCCCAGCAACTCCAACACTCCCAAATGACAAAATCAATCCTCCCAACCCCACCAGTAATCAAATTTGGGTGTATTGGGCATTTGTGCATCCTGCATATCAGATATTTACATTACGATTCATAACCGTAGCAAAATTACAGTTATGAAGTAGCAACGAAAATAATGTTATGGTTGGGGGTCACCACAACATGAGGACCTGTACTAAGGGGTCGCGGCATTAGGAAGGTTGAGAACTACTGCTCTAGATGCATCATCGGTGGGTTCAGTGTGCTCTCTGGTTGTAGGATACATTACACTCTCATCATGGTCCAGGTCCATCATCGGTGGAGATCACAGTTTCCTTGGTTGTGGATGAACTACAACTCCCAGAAAGGAAGGTCAATAATTAAACGCACGCTTATCTCATCTAGTTGAGCAACAGTAAACACCTCGCTTGTAGAAGTCAACAGGTTGCTCCAAACGCCAGGTTATGACTTCGAAAATCAGTCTCCCCATCTGAGAAATGCTTGCCCTTCCAAAATAACGTCCTTGTTGGAAATATCTTGGAACATATCCCCTATGGATATGGTGGTTGTTGTATCTTTGTTTGTGTTTCAATTCTGATCAAATTGATGTTGGCCATCAATCAATCTTCCAAGGGTAGGCTTATGCTGCCACCCGATGGTGGATTTGGAGAACTGCAGCTTTTAGAAGATGCCAAGTTGCCAACTGTGTCTCAAGGAAATTGTTGTTCATTTGTTCAGTCATTTCCGACTCTTCGTGACCTCATGGACCAGCCCACACCAGAGCTCCCTGTTGGCCGTCATCACCCCCAGCTCCTTCAAGATCAATCCAGTCACTTCAAGGATCCCATCCATCCATCTTGCCCTTGGTCGGACCCTCTTCCTTTTTCCTTCCATTTTCCCCAGCATCATTGTCTTCTCCAAGCTTTCCTTTCTTCTCATGATGTGGCCAAAGGACTTCATATTGGCCTCTACTATCCTTCCCTCCAATGAACAGTCGGGCTTTATTTCCTGGAGGATGGACTGGTTGGATCTTCTCGCAGTCCAAGACACTCTCAGCACTTTCCTCCAACACCATGGGTCAAAAGCATCTCTCTGCCTTTGCTCAGCCTTCCCGAAGGTCCAGCTCTCACATCCGTAGGTGACTAGGGGGAATACCATGGCTTTGACTAGGCGTATCTTCGTTGCCAGTGTGATGTCTCTACTCTTCACTATTTTATCAAGATTGGACATTCCTCTCCTCCCAAGAAGTAAGTGTCTCCTGATTTCCTGGCTGCTGTCTGCAGGGAGAGGGAGAGGGCCTTCTCGGTGGTGGCCCCCGACTCTGGAACTCACTCCCCAGGGATATCAGGCACGCCCCAACTTTGGCAATTTTTAGGAGGAGCTTGAAAACGTGGTTGTTCCAGTGTGCCTTCCCATAATATGGCAACTCCCAGCAATATGTCCCTAATTGCACCTTATTAGTGATCTAGAACTGTCTGTATGACCCATTCTTTTCCGAAATTCTATCCTAGTTATATTTCACCTGGTCTTGTCCAGCATTATTTTTAAATTTTTAACTATTACATTTGACCCAGCCATTGGTTTTTGTGTTATTGTCGATGTTTACTGCCTATTTTTTTTGTTTATGAGCTTTATTTTATTGTTTTGTATTACTGCTGTTGTTGTTTTTTGTTGATGTATTGTGGGCTCGGCCTCATGTAAGCCGCACCGAGTCCCTTGGGGAGATCGTGGCGGTGTATAAATATAGTTTTCTTATTTTCTTATTTAGTATTAATCTTTGCACCTAGAAATACAAAGTCTGTCACAGCCTCCACGTTTTCTCCCTCTATTTTCCAGTTGTCAATCATTCTTGTTGCCATAATCTTGTTTTTTTTTTTATGTTTAGCTGCAACCCAGCTTTTGCGCTTTCTTCTTTCACCTTGATTCAAAGGCTCCTCAGCTCCTCCTCGCTTTTAGCCATCAAAGTGGTATCATCTGCATATCTAAGGTTTCTTCCAGCAATTTTCACCCAAGCCTTGCATTAATCAAGCCCTGTACATTGCATGATGTGTTCTGCATACAAGTTGAATAACTTGAGGGAGAGGACACAACCCTGCTGTACGCCTGTCCCAATCTTGAACCAGTCTGTTGTTCCATGGTCAGTTCTGACTGTTGCTACTTGGTTCTCAGGAGAGAGACAAGGTGACTTGGTATGCCCAGACCACCAAGAACTTGCCACAATTTATTATGATCCACACAGCTCAAGGAAATACCTACACCAAATAATTTTGCTCTTTGAAAACCTTGGTGTAGAGGAAGTACGGGAACAAGCTTGGCTATGACAGCAGAGGAGAGGGATAGTGCCATAATACCCTACAGTTGGAAGGAGCAGAGAGTCCAACCCATCCTCTCTGCTCCGTGCAGGACTTCCAGACACTTATTGAGCATGGTGAAAGATCTCGGAATTTGTAAGTTGTGGAGGAAATCCTCCTAGCATGTATCGGGGTAATTCACTGAAGTTCAATGGGAGGAATGGAGGTTGCTAACTGCAGAACTTACCTTCATCTTCCCCACATCCTCCTTGGATACTGAACCAGAAAATGAGCAGGACTTCCCTAGATCTAGACACTATGCTCCTATTGATGCAGGCCAAAATCCCATTGGCTTTTTTTGCCGCCACATCACATTGTTGGCTCATGTTTAACTTGTTGTCCACGAGGACTCCAAGATCTTTGTCACACATACTGCTCTCGAGCCAGGCATCGTCCCCCATTCTGTATCTTTGCATTTCGTTTTTCCTGCCAAAGTGGAGTATCTTGCATTTGTCCCTGTTGAACTTCATTTTGTTAGTTTTGGCCACCATCTCTCTAATCTGTCAAGATCGTTTTGAATTCTGCTCCTGTCCTCTGGAGTATTGGCTCTCCCTACCAATTTGGTGTCGTCTGCAAACTTGATGATCCTGCCTTCTAACCCTGTAATAAAGATGTTGAACAGGACCGGGCCCAGGACGGAACCCTGCGGCACTCCACTCGTTACTTCTTTCCAAGATGAAGAGGAAGCATTGGGGAGAAACACCCTCTGGGTACGTCCATTTAACCAATTCCAGATCCACCTCACCGTAGTTTTGCCTAGACCACATTGGACTAGTTTCCTTGCCAGAAGGTCATGGGGGACCTTGTCGAAGGCCTTACTGAAATCCAGGTACGCTACATCCACGGCATTCCCTG